CTCACTTTGAGAACAAAATGACTGACACCTTCTTGAAGGCCACCTCTAAAAATCCTATTTGAGAATGTCAGGACGGGGTTAAGCAAGGCCTTTCCTGGCATAAAACCTGAAGACTTACACTAGTTTTGGATCTATTTCACAGGAATTTCAAGAGCCAAATAACTTCTTAAAAGGTCTCTAAAAAGAGAGCTTAATAACATTTGCAACCATTCAGCAGAGTACAGGGACCCAGAAGGAAAGGGCTGGAAAAGCAGAGGCAGTACTCACGCTTCCCAATGCAGTTTTCAAACATCACCTTGGTTTTTACCTGTGTCTTCCACCTGAGCTGCAGCGTCAGGTCTGGAGGAGGAGCGTCAGGCCTGGAGGAAGGGCGAGAGTGTCTGGGGACACTGGCCAGGTGTATGGCAGGTGCGGGGCCACCCCCTGCTCTACATCCTTGGGCTGTAACCTAAGGAGCACACCTGTGAGGCCAGGCTTGCTGTATATTGTTACTATATAAACGGGATCTAGAGAAGGATTGAGTGCAGGCCTTGTAGGAATATCCACCTTTTGGCCCCTCTACTGCCAACGCTTCGTCTGTCCCAGGGGCTTCCTTGAAAAGGAGCAGCTTTGCACAATGGATGTCTGCCTCTGAAAAGTCATCACCATCTCTGCTTATGAAACTTTCTCTGAGTGCAATTAACCTTTCCTCCAAACTACCTTGCAAAGATTTTAAAAATATTTAAGCGTTAACTAAGTTACTAGATTCATGCATAAAGGCAAGCCTTACTTAAAAAGATATCAAGAATTATTTTCCTGCAGGAAATATTTATGGTCTATCCATTTAAAATAGGATTTTGCTTTACATACTGTCTTAGTTTTTAACCATTTTTCTCCCTGTGGATTTACTTTATCACAACCATCTCTCTTCTCAGCAGAGTCCACATACAGGTAACACAACAGAGGAATTTAAAGACACTTTCTCTAAATCCAGAAGGCAAGGGGCCTCCATTTTGAAAGAAGGCTCCTGAGATTACCTAAGAAAACCAGTGTTGCTTCATTTCTTTTTTTTTTTTGAAACCTCTTTTCTTTTTTGAGTGCTGCTTCATGACAAAGCACTAGTAAAATGCAGGCCTTGCCTTCAGAGGGCAAATCATTTCTAAGGAACTTCTATCAGTGTCCATGAGCTTTGCAACAGCTTCCATGTGCCTTCAGGGGACAGCAACGGGCACAGCACTAGGTGTCAGCACTCTGCCGCCAAGCAGGAGCTGCATCCACACACAGGGCCCATGGGCTGCAAGCCGCTGCCAGCCTCCTGCAATCCTGTCTCTAAGTGTTTGCGGCTCTGGCAGGCGGACGGCAGGCCTCCCCAAGGACACATCCTCAGCATTTCCCAGGAGTCCCTGTCAGGCATGGGCTGCTTTCTCCTTCACCTCCATCTCCTCAGCTTGTGGCCTCTCAGACAGCGTCTTTACAGTGAATGTGTTTCACTGGTTCCTAGTTAGTTCTGTACAAACTTCCCCTCAAAGAACTCACCTGGAGACAGCAAACTATTGCCAGAAGTAACAGAGACCGCCGCAGCAACTCCAGCATGGACAGCTGCAGGCACAGCTCTCCACGCCTGCCCCAGAAAGGCCATTCGCTTTGACTCCTGTTCAGAAATCCCGTCTGATCAAATATTTACTCCAACAACATCATGCAAGGAGGCGCTGTGTGCTCTGCTGTCCCGAGCCATTGCCCTAGGCAGATGGGCACAGCCTTGTCAGGACAGGTGTCATCAAGACCTGGACCTATGCTTGCTCTGCTCCGTCCAGGATATGGAGAACTAGGGCCTCTCACCTGGCACTCTGAGATACCTTCAGCAAGTGAAAGTTGAGGTAGACCATTTTCGAGGTTTAGATTTCTCCCACATCAATCACAATTATGAGAAGATTTCCAGCAGAAAATTCACAATAGTGGACCTTCTTCCATATTGCTTTACAGTTACATTACGTATAATTAAAACCATCATAAAATAATGCATTGAGAGTCTATCATCAACATTTTTAGATTCCATAGAAGGAAAACTGTGCTCATTCCCAGCACACTTACAATGAAGGTACGGATTTTATAAAGGCATACCAACACATTCATCTGTGTGCGCCGTACATGGTTGTACTACCTGTGTAAATGCAGGGAAGTGTGCATTACAGACGTAACACGTGCCCAACAACATGCACACACGTTAATGACAGACAACGCATTTGCATGCAAACTGGCTGCAGGGAAGCCTGCTTTATGGGTTGTGGATTCTTCTTTCACGGAGGAAACATGCACATAGCCTGTATCTGCAGCACGTCTCTCACTTGCCTGAGGAGGGGCAGCCATTAGAGGCAATGGTACTGCAGAACTTCGAAAGACAGTGGAAAAACTCAACTGCTTCTGCACTTGAAAACTAACTGGGCCCTTGATATTAAGAAATTACTGGTTATATTTCAGGTATGCATAATGGTATTTTGATGAAACATTTTTACCCTTTTGTTTTGCAGGACTGGGAGTTGAACCCAGGGCCAGAGCTCTACCACTAAGTTATATCTGGTTCAGAGAATTTAAAAGATGGTTCTTGTTCCACATAATCTTTTGCTATTGCTTCCCCCCCACCGCAAAATGCTGACTGTAAGCACTTGGGGATAAATACATATAGCAATACTTAACATCAAGATGACAGGAAATGAATCTATCAGGTAAGGAGTGTTACCTTTATTTTTGAGAAAGATTAAGATAGAGCATGGGTCTCAGATATTTCCGGTACAGATGTGACAATATGATACATAAAATTTTCTGGGAATCTTCCACTTTGAAAAAGTCCAGCTGGGTGTGCCGGTGCATGCCTGTAGTTCCAGCACTCAGGAGGCCGCAGGAACATTATGAGTTCAAGGCCAGCCTGGGCTACATATCAAGTTCAAAGGCTATACTGCTAGCAACACCCAGTCTCAAAAATTAAAAGAATGAAAATTAAAAAATAAAAAGTCTATATGCTATTTTTATAAATAAAACACACATCCCAGAAATTCAATTACTTGGATGGTTTCTTGTACACGTAATTAGGAAAAGCATTTGTGCACTTGCCACAGGATTAGACGCGTCAGGATTATTTCTCCACCATGACAGCGAAAGCTGAGAGTCATCATCTGGGTTCAGCTGCCACATCCCCTCCTCTCAGAAACGTCCTGTACTCCTGACCAACTGCGTACATCTAACACAACTTCATACAATTCCGCACTCCCCACTTGGCGACCCTTGGCAGAACTGCAGTGAGATGTGCACTTACGTGACCTTTAACATCATACGTCTCCCCCAGAGCCCACAAGCTCTGAGACTCTGCTCCACGCCCATCTCCAGCCCCAGCTCAGCACTCCGCACACTGATGCTAAGGCTGATGGCCCAACACCACTCCCCAGAGAGCTGAATACAGGACTGGGATACAGGGGCAGAGGCCAGGAGCTGATGGGTAAGAAGCACCCTGGGAGTTCCGATGGGCAGTAAGCAGACTTGAATCACAGGGAAACTAATACGCTAAGGCACTCTCAAGTATTCCCAAAGACAAGGACTACTACATTATTTGCTGAGATTTCCCTTGGCTGGAAATATAAAATAATTAATGACCTCAGTAGGAATTTTGACATGCATCATTAGAGGCACAGAGGAGGTTTCCTGAAATATCAAACACTGAAAAGAGCAGATGGCCAGTCAGGGTGGTGGCATATGCCTGTAATCCCAGCACTGAGGAGGCTGAGGCAGGAGGATGATTGCGAGTTCAAGACCAGCTTGGGCTACAAAGTGAGCACAAGGCCAGCCTGAATTGCACAGCGAGCCCCTGTCTCAAAAAGACAAAAAAAAAGGAAGAAAGAAAAGAGCAGAATCAGAACTCCAAGCACTCAAATCCTGGCCAACTAGAACATGACAAAACTATTCTACACACAAACACATTGCTTTTGCACACACCCCTTCCTACACTGGGCCTGGTCCCATGCTACCCCCAGCCTTCCGGGACTAGTGCCGATGCTGCTCCTGCTCCCACATCATCTTCTTCGGAGCTCAAGCTGCCGTCGCCCTTTCAGTGTACCCAGCAGGGGACGCAGTGCTCCATCGGGGACGCTGCTCTGACCTTCTGCTCTATCTTAAAGACAGCATCCTGCTTCTGTTCGGGAACACTGTGCTCTCCTGTTCCCTGCCCCCACAACTGCCCCACTGCAGAACAGAGGTTACTTCCCTCAGACCTTGGAATGTCCCCTCCCTGACCTCAAGACCCCAGGTCACATTCTCTTCCCTGGAGCTACTCCTAGAAGGCAACACCCACCCACTCCTCCACTCAGCGCTGAGCCTACACGTGTCCTGCCCATCTCTGTTGGATTCAGTACACTCCGTGTCTGTCGGAAGAGGATTTCACCAACCTAAATCACTCAAGCTGCAGGCAAGTGCAGCTTCAACTTCTCTCTTCAAGCTCACCCGGGGCCCTCGCGAAGGCGGCCCTCCCCACCCGGGGAGGCTCCTTCCAGGGCCTGGTTAACACAGTGCCGCGCCTCCCAGCCGCCTTCCCACACCGCAGCTCCCTGCAGAGCACCACGTTCTTTCTCCTTGGTCACCTTCCGCTTAGTTCCATGGTGAGTGCCTTTCCCTTCTCCCAAGGCCTCCTCGAAGCAGCGTGCTGTCTGCTCGGTGCACCACAGTGGGTGCAAAGGGAACTCGGGCTCGTCTGGTGCTGAACGGTGTGGAGACGAGCAGCACCAGCATTCGCACTGCTATAGGGCCGCCTCCATGAGTGTGCGCTCCTTAAAATGATCCTTTGATCATCCTGCTACTCAACACAAGGGCAGACACGCCTGGGTCTGCTCCCGGCTGTGGGTCCACGCTGCACAGCGGGCGGGACACAGACACAGCACAGCTGGGGCGGCCCCGCCCCCGGGCAACGAGCATGCCGTGCATGCATGAGGGGCAGGAAGGACCGGCACGACACAGGAGGAGAACCCTCGAAAGCTTGCCTTTCAGGTCCTTCACGTAGCCCTCTTTGCAGCTGTGCATGAGCTGGAGGATCCACCTGTGCTGGGCGCCGATGCACTGCCACGCGGGGTCGCCGGGCGCGCGCAGGTCAGACAGATACCTGGAAAAGCAGGGAGAGCTGTCAGCAGGGCGCAAAGGCAAGGCTGGCCCAGTGTAAACTTTCCTTATGGAAAAACGGAAGTTTTATCAACCAGTAAAGCACCGGTCAACATCAGTCTTTCATTTTCAGTAAGATATGTTCAAATTTCCTTTCACATAATGATACATGACAAAGCGTTACTGTTAAAAGTTAGCTCTCACACGAAGGTACCTGAAAAAAACAAAGACAACGCAACAATGGCAGGGGCTGGCGTGGCAGCAACTGTTCACAAGCCGAGCCCAGGCTTCAACACAGCACAGAGCCCGCAAGGCCACTAGATGGCAGCGCGACACCGTGTTCCAGCACAAGCTGAGCAGAGGCAGCAGAGGCCGACGGTTTCCTCTAGCCAACATTGGTGACAGGCACTGACCTCTAAAGCCTAAATCTTAAACCCTTAACTCATGACTAAGAAAATATTGCTCTATATCATACACTACTGATGCATTTTGTCTTACTTTTATGTAGTTGTTTTTAGATATTTAAACTTTTTGCATAAAATACTCAAACCCAGATAGACAATAAATTTCAGTAGAAAATTTTGTCAAATGTTATTTAAGACTAAGCCCTCCGCCTTACATAATTTGGTATTATACCTTACAACAATACACTAATGTAACAGGTAAAATCCAACTAAGAAAACTCCAAAGGCATGTTCAACTAAATTTCTTAGAATTATTCAACTAAAAATTGCCTTTTGTTTTAGGATCAAAGACTCTTAAGGCAGGCATGGTGCAGCATGCCTCTAATCCCAGTGCTCTGTGAGGCTGAGGTAGGAAGATCACAAATTCAAGCCCAGCCAGAGCAACTGAACAACTCAGGGAGCCCCGTCTTGCCTTGGGGTCCTCCTTTTTTAGACATCTCAGTAGCAGCTGATTAGAAGAGACCCCATCTGGGGGCTGGGGATTTAGCTCAGCGGCAAAGCGCCTGCCTGGCAAGCGCAAGGTCGTGAGTTCGGTTCCCGGTACCGGAAAAAAAACAAAAACAAACAAACAACAAAAAAAAGAAGAGACCCCATCTGATGGTAAGTTAGCAACACGCAACATGCGGAGGAGATCTAACCCTGACCTTCAGGAGCTGAGGGGCAGGCGCGGCACCGAGCTTTCACAAGAGGTCCCACAGGAGCAGCTCAGTCCCACACGGGGAGGCTGCCAGCCACTCCGCTCCATTCTCTGTGACTCCAATAGGCCGAGGGCAGGCGGAGGCCTGGGCTGAGAAGGAGCCAAGTCAAATCAAGGAGGGCCTTCACTCATCTCAAGAGTCACTTAAGACTCCTCCTCACATCTGCAAATAGCATCCCGAGAAGCAAATGACAGCCTAACACATTACATTTAGCTTGGCATATGGAATACACTCTACAGTCCACAAGAGCCACTCTGATTGTTCCGCTTGTAACAGGCTTTCTTCTTGGATATTCCAAAAATACCTGCGCTTCTCTCCTACTGGGGAGACTTCCTTACAACAGTCTCTCTAGGCAGGCAGGTTTGCTTTGCCTCCAAATACTTACGCAAACTATATCCTAACACCATCACTCACATAACCTTCAGACTGGTATCAGGAGCAAAATATGGGACTATGCCTTAGAAAAGCTGCCTCCCTTCAAGTTTGAAACACTCAATAGGAATGTGGATGGTCACGCCTAGGACTTAGGCAGTACAGCAAGAAAAATCAGAACACTTGCTGCCTTAGGCACTTTAAAATTGTCTCTTTAGTATGTTGACTGGTCCTTGCGAAAGTTAACAATGCTCTTTCCACTCCTTTATCAATGATTCATAAATTGAAGGCGTCTAGAAGTGTTTTATCAAGCTGGTTAGTCTCTCAGAAATTCCACAGAACATTTCAATTCTAAAGTAAAACAGATTATTCTAGACTCTTTCAGTAAGTTTCCTCCTTTCTTTTCATATAAAGCTTAAAAATAAGTAGTTTCATTACAAGATCTTTGTATTGAGTGTGACAACATGTTATTGCTATTCTTTTTAAAATTACGTACTAAAGAACACACTTCAGAGGCTTTTTGGAGAGGAAAAACAAGGTAAGGAATGTTAATTATGATGAACATAGGCTCAACATTTTAACATTTACGAATTAAGGTTTGCAGCCATATTCTGCTATGATTTTTACCAATCATCAGAAGTAGGATCACAACCACATGGAATACAGTGAGCGGAGCTCTGCTTCATGCTAAGCTGGTATGTTCCCTCCCAGCATCAGGACAGAATGACGAGTGAAAATAATCAGTGAGACTTCAATTAGATAAAACAAGGAGTAGAAGACAATACAGCAGCACACTGATGTTCACGCCCACCAGACACAGCATGGGTTAAGCAAGAACTCCAACACAGCTGCTCCTGGACTGACACTTAATCCCCTGTGGTATCCAGCGTCTCCACTGCCACAGACCGGTTGGCTCTGATCTATCCCCTAACTCACCAATGGTTAAAACTTTTAATTTAAAAAGGTAATCAAATTGCTCAGTGTCTTCCCAAGGCATCAAAACAAGAAAATGATTAAAAAGTAAGTGAACTATTATTGTCATTCCTGCTACTGTCCATTTAAAACGATACAAACAAACATAAGATGTGTCATTTCTTCTGACAGCACCACCTCCTCAGCACTACCCAGGCAGACAACGTGGTCACAGGAGGCACATCTGTCTTCCATACAGACGTTAATTCACCCACAGAGAAAATGTACACTCGGTGGCATGTGACAAGCAACTGTAGGCAAAGTGAGGACAACAAAGCAATAGCCACGGGAATCCACAAGCACTCGCAAGAGTCGGGACACTTGTGCACACCAGGTCCCTTCCGGGACTCTGCTTCCTTAAATGGAGAAAGTGAAGCAGTGGTATCACTAACATGTGGCTTATTTTCAGTTTTAAATTTCTCAGTCCCACAAGCAAGAAGAGCCCTCTAGGAACACGCTCTGCTGATGGAGGCAGTGCAGAGAAAAGCCCAGGGCAGGCTTCTGATCGGACACACAGGGCGCTCCTGGCTGTGCGTGCAGGGCGGCTCCAGTCTTCACCTGTGGCCCAGTGACAAGGCAAGGCCCTTTCATAAGGAAAGAAGCCAGAATGCACCCAGCGCATGCTGGGCACACGGCCTGGGCTCTGCAGCAGCTGACTGATCGGCTGTGCTCTGGTTCCGGGACTGTCTGCCTGCCTTCCACCTCGGCAGCCCCAGGCACCACCAGGGACAGCAGCGCATATTCCCGCCTTCTCCACCCAGGACAGCTGAGCGCACTTGGCCCCAAGACTGCAGAGCACACAGCAGCTCGCAGGCTGACCTCCTCTCCGCAGCTGCGGGCCACATCCATTGATCACAGGATGACCACAGGCAGTGCCCGAGAATACAGGCCATCATCTCTCTCCAACTATGGAACAGTTAATACACTTCCCTGATCCTGAAAGAGAAGTCCTTCCATTTGAAAAAATAACAGCTTATTCTGAGTGAAACCAAGAGCCACAACCAAGATACCCAGCAGAAAGTAAACATTTTTGAATCACTAATACAAAAAGCTTATGATTTATACCTTGTCTCCAAATCCTGGCACAAACTACATACCTGTAAAATTTATCAACTACTTATTACGTGCCAGGTAGTAGGCTAAGTCAAATATCTGTTCTAGGCCTGAGACACAGCCCATGCCACCATTCCACCTTTCGGATGGAGAAACTGCAGGGAGAAAGCTCAGATGCACTGCCCAAGCGAGCAGCCAGTTGCCACTCGAGGCAGGTGCTCCTTCCTCTAAGCCATCTCTTTGCACTGTGACGGCTGTGTCTTCTAGTAACACTGTAGTCTTGTGTTAAGTATTCTTGCTTTAGTAACCTGACTCCTTTTCTACTGATCACTAAAGGATGTAAGTCCGATAACCCATGACACCTTCCAGAACCGTCCCCACTGCTGAGCCAGGGAACACTCACACCTATGACATCCAGAGCCTACCATTCACTGTAGGACAGTGCGGACCTCACTTCTCAAGCTGAGGCTTCCTGGGGTGCAGCACCCACACAGTCCCACGAGATGAGATAACAGCCACGCAGCAGGAAGAGAGGTGACCAAGCAATGAGGCCACTTCTCCTTTGGCCAAACAGGCAGCATTTTCTTACCATTAAAAAGTGATCATTTCGTTTTCCTGAGAAACTACTTTAAAGATATTAATACGTAATACAACAACCATTGTTAATTTCCTACTACTTTGTAACTGTATTGTTTGTATTGTGCTTATGCTATTTTGTAAATGGATGTCTGTTAGTAAGTTTTCCTCCTTTTATTTTTAAAATAATTTTTTTAAAAAGTGATCATTCCATAACCACTCTCAATTTATTAGCATTCAAAAGATGTTTCGTGTCCCACACGAGATACCTCTCAGTTTCTGCTTTTGGTTTTCCCTTTCTCCACTTCGTTGGGTTCCCAGAATTCCCCAGATTAGCTTTCAGGGTCACATGGCACAACCAATAGCAAACAGATACATGATCCGTCAACATTCTTGCCCAAGTTTACCTTATGTAACGTTTTTGGTCATGTAAGGTTGATGGCGTCTCAAGCAATTTATCCAGGAGTAATTCTTGTAAAGCTTCAATACGTGTTTCTACTTCGGCATAATCTATTTTTAAAAATATATACATATGTACACCAAAGTTACAAAACCGAAATTTAAAGTTAAATTTTACAAAGCAGAAAAGTGCCTTCTCACTGAGAAGTACAAGGGCCTCTGTGATCAAAACCCATGACCTCAAACACGTAGATGGCATGTGCATCTGTCAGAACCCACTGACCCATAACATGTAAGGTCTATGTATTTCACTGCATGGGAAGTTATTACAGTGAAGAAATAAATTCTGTTTTCTGAGCTTTATGGATTTCATTTTTGAATTTAATAAGCCCTGTGGTATTTTTCCCAGTTGATAAAGTTTTAACCACTGGGTATTTTAAGTTTGTGTTATTTTCTGTAACTCTAGTATGAGAAATTATTTCAAAAGGTCTTTTTCTTTAAAGGTTAGAATTTGCAAATGTATTGGTCTTTCTGGTAAGGGCAGACTGAAATGCAGGTTTCTATGTCTGTAAAATACCTCACGTTATTTCTTTCCAGTAAGAAACATTTTTGTAACATCATGATTAACAAACAGAAAATTGTCTGAGACTAACCTACCATCACAGTTGCTCACTTTCACCAGATCTCAGCAAGAAAATTCATGCCGTTTTTGAAGTAACTGTTTTACATTTTAAAGAAAGCATCACATAAACAAAATCCAAAGTGCACGTAACATTCTTTGCAGCATACATCACACATTCTTCCTATAAAAGGGAAGTCAAAGATCTGACAATAACAAACAAATCTTACATTTCTTGAAAACTTGCACCTCCGTTTTCCCAAAGAGTGACTTGGCCTTTTCATAATCGTTAATAACCACATCATAATCACCCTTTAAAATAAAGAAACATTTGGGATACCGTCAGTAAAGCAGAATGCAGACATTTGGTTAATATAAAAAAATCTAACAAATCTTTAAAATTAACAATATCCACAGCTGTACATAAATAAGTACTCTACCTTTTGAATATTCCTTTCAATATTTAGAGGAAGGTTGAAGAGAAACTTAAATCGCTGAAGTACATTGAGTGCATTTCTTGTGGAATCTGCCTTGTCCTTTCGACCTAACACTTCTTGAAATAATGTGTCTGCAGTATTACTTGCTCCTGTTTTAAAAGAAGAAAAAGAAACTTAAATGAAAGCTGACGTTAATCAGAAAATGTCTGAGGACTAGAAACAAAATGTTAAAGACTTCCACTGTAGTTTTACATTAAAACTCAAAAAACCATTTTCTTTTTTTAAGTTAGCTATATTGGAGATCTTTTAAAGTTTCCTAGAATTAAATTTTCATTTTGTGTGTGAAGTCTTCACGTTATGAATAGAATCCAATTAAAAACCATACTTACCCAAATAAATTCATACATGCCCAAATAAATTCTCCAACATGAACCAATATTTATTTTGATTATGCTTCTAAATATTATAGCAATTACAGGCTCTTCAGACAGAACAAACGCATGCACACAGATGCCTATGTGCACATTCATACCCACACTAGAGAGGTCCCATAGATTCAGTGTCTACATACAGGATGCTAAAACAAAGGTAACAGTTTTCAGAATTCTAAAGAACTATTTTAAGACCAATCCTCCTTCTTTATAGAATTATCTCCTTATATTGTGAATACAGAAAATTATATAAACAATTAAAAATGTCAAATTTAATACTGTATCATCAATATTTCTCAAAACAGCTAATTCTTATAAAATGATATATAAACAGGACATTTCATAAGGGTTCTTTTCTTTTTAACCTAAAGGACTTCAAACTATACAGTTCACTATAATGAAAGTGCTACTCTATCTAAGGAAAACTTGCTATGTATAAAAATAGCTTAGATTTTCAAACCTCTGAATTATTTTTAATTAGACACAAGGAAAGGGAAGAACAGGGATAAACTGTTTTCAGCTGTTTGATCGCTCTTGAAAAAGTCTCTGCATTATCTGGTCTAGTGACCATACTTTAAGCGAAGATGAAAAAATTACCTCAGCCTCACTGGGTGGCTTGCATGCCATGTCCTGGTCCACACTGTGGGTGGCCTGGTCCTGTTAAAAGTCGTCTTTGTAACATGATTGCTTTATCTAAACAATGTTTAAGTTCTGTTGAAATTTTAAAGACCTGATATAAATACTTTGTTTGGTCAAGATAACTGTTTTCACCACATGCTGTTTAATGTAGAACACTAAACTTCTATTCTAAGACGAGGAAAAACGTATTTCCTTCTTGCCACCAAACTGCACACTGGAGGCTGACTGAGGATCTCAAGTCTGGTTAGGGTTAAAACTTTCTTCAAGGAAAATTATATTAAAGTACTTGCTTATCATTTTAAAAATACAAACTTACTGAATTCGGGCTTCATAAATGACTAGACATGGGAATGGAACTCTATGTTGTTAAAAGGTTCATTCATTTTCAGGAGTTTGGATGTTAATCACCAAGTGCCTTTTTTTTGTATAATGGAAGAATTTGTACGAATAGCATACAAGCCCAAATTAGGCTTATCTCATCTTATTTTTACTGTGCTAAAAAAATACCAATTTAATAACTGAACTCCTTTAAAAATTGTGAAAAGACACACAAAGAGAAAATTCACTTACAATTAAAACAAACAAAAATTTATGGGCATAAATTATAAACCATAAAATCAGAATTTAATTTATACAAACATATATACATTTATACATGAAGAATTTCAATTTGTACAATGCTGAGAAATTATATAGTTTCTGCCAATAAATTATTTTTGTTGTGAATCTTATTACATTCACAAGTCTGGTAGCTGGAAGAAAACACTCGAGGGCAGTGACACCAAGATCTGTACAGTAGAAGCAATCACAGCAGCCCACATGATGCACTGTCTGTCTGCCTTCTCTAGGGCTGCACACAGGAGAACGAAACTGCTACACAAAAGGCTGCTCTTGCTGCGTACGGCGGAGGCACAGACAAAGGCACCGGGAGGAACCCACGAAGTCACCCGGTACCAAACCTCACATGCACCACCTCCTGCACCCCACTCCATAGCCTCACACCTGGCGCATCTGACCTGAAGGCACCAGTGGGGCTCAGAACACCCAGTGTGCGCCCAGAGACAAATCCAGCTGCAGCGAGCAGTCCCGAGGGCCATGCCTTCGGCCTCCCCAACTGCAGAACAGGTCTCCTTCCCAGACCTGAAACAGGTCGCTCTCCTCCCTTGTGAATGGCTCCACACTGGTGGATCCGGGTAGGGAGTGTCACTATCGTGGTCACACAGGGGCCCAAGAACTAGCAATGGTGCTGTTGTAACAACACTCCAGCTGCCACCATGGCGGTGATATAATATGGAAAGAAAGGTGACCTCTGTATCATGTATTAACCCATCCCATCCCACCCCACGCTCACCTGCCTGCTGATCTGTCCTTAATAACACAAAGAAATTCAGTAGTGCCAGTAACCCTTGCACCTCAAAAGTCTAGGCCTGTAATTCTAGCAGGTCTTACAATCGCAAGCATGTATACTGAAAGCAAACATTGATCCCTTTCTTGGTAGTGACACTTAAGACTGCAGATCCCAAAAGTGATTTTTAATCTATGCTCTCTGCTTCTCAGGAATCATGGGGGCCAAAGACGGAACAGAAGGACACCCCCTCCGCTACTGGCCCAAGACTATTTCTTGCAGAAACAGACACGGTGGGTGAGCTCAGAAAACAGTATTTTAGGGCACTGGGAAAATTAAGGTAACCCTAAAATGTGCATTCACATTGGTGGTAAAATCGGGACCACAAAAGCTCCTACCTGCTCAATGTGTCTCAGGTTCAACTCAGATTCTAGAAAATGACAGGCAGGCTGCTGCCTGTCAGTAACAGTATTAGGTGAGCACCGCTGTAAACAGTACTTAATGCTGATTTAAACACTGTGTCTGACATGGGGGATGCAGCTTTCCAGATGACAAGGAGCCAGGATCACAGCTTAAGAGCAGAGGACTGCACCCATGTGCACACAACCAACTGCAAGCACCACTCCCCAACTTCACGGCAACTTCGGAGAAGGCTAAACTTACGGCTGGTTTTCCTTCCTTTTCTTCCTTTATCACTGTCACTTGCTGAACACTTGCCTGCCAATCATGGAGGCAACATCAGTTTCTTTTTCACAGAACTGACTCCTACTGATGCTCTGTAGTGTTCTAAGTCCATGTGTGACCTTGCTCTTTTCATTTTACATGTGGTAATTGGATTAAATTCCATCCTAGTCCTTCCACTACATCTTGACACTGGTGATTCCCAAATCCACATCTCAGGATGTGTCTGCTGATCTGAGCTGAAACTAATCTCAAAAAATCTTTACTGGACATGCAATAATGATGGCTACTGTACTGAGCACTTGCTCTGCACTAGGTGCTATCCTAGTTCACAGGTGCCACGCCCATGCACTGCTTACGTCCCTCTAATATGGGCAGTGCAGGCAGATGCCATGCAGGCTATTCCTCCCGCCCACAGTGACACAGGCAGGAAGGAGTGAGAGCCAGCAAGACACTCACTGATACAGCCCCCAGCAGTCTCAGACTCGACATGGTAAAACTGAGCTGAACATTCCCCACTGCTCATCAATCTTTGCTCCTTCCTGCTCCTCCTTCCTGCATGTGAGCCAGGGGTGGAAGTCCCACTGCTCGTTTCCTTTTAGCACCCCACAGTGACCATCCTCATCTCCTCAGCATCTCTCCCCACATTTGCTCTACCCTACTTGCTCGGTGTTGGCTAGGATCCTTACCGCGTCACCTTCCCATGCTTGCTCTCCACACGCTCTGCCTGGCTTCTCCCTGCCCTAGCGTAGCCCCATCCAATCCACCATCTGTCAGGCGGCAGAGTGCTCTTTTAAAGCACTGTCATCAGGACACCCACTCACTAACCTCCAATGGGCTCCAGCAGTCTCCAGGATAAAGGCCAGTTCCACAGCATGGCAGGAGCAGAGCCCATGCAGTTCCCTGGCGGCTTTACACACAACTACTCTCGGTCCTGGTTCCTGGACCACGTCCCATCCCTTTTCTGCTGTCACTGCTTCCCCTTCTGGCAGCTGCCCCTGCCAGGACACACCTGCATCGCCTACGCAGCTGCCCACCTGCCAATCTGCTTCTCTGGTCACTTCCTGCTACCTTCTAAGGACACATGACCACCGTGATAAGTCTATCCACTCCTCCTGTTCTGTTGTTGCAAGGGTCCTTGTTATCTTGGTGCTGGGGACAGGACCAGCACGTCACACATGCTAGGCAGACCTCTGCCAGCTGAATCACATCCTAACACTCCACTTTGCAGTCAGGTTGCCCCGCATGTGCTCCAGCAACACACAGAATTCCTGTCGCGAGTGAAGCACATGGTAATGCAATTGTCTGCCTCTGTGTCTACATTTTCCAAGGAGTAATAAACTCTTAGAAGCAAGCACAAATTTTAGCTTTATATTCCAAGAAAAATCAAAGGTTTGTCTGGTAACCACTAAAAACCAGTCTTTGAGCCAATGTCCAATATTCTTTCCATCCAGAGAGGCAGGACAGGACAGGACAAGACACAACAGTCTTGTCTTGCACCACACTGGGGACCATGACAAGGGCTACACATTCTGAAACCTAGCAAAGTCATCTCAATAATTAATAAGTAACAGCAGAGTATAGCTGTGCCAAACTTAAAGTTCCCCTTACAATAGTTCCATTTGCCATAGTACAAAACGCATTTGGTGGAGGCCATAGGTCAGATTCTCCCTATGCAGCTTTTTCCAGGCCGGCACCATGCAGTCTGCTACCTCGGAGGTGCTGGGCAGCAGGAGGGAGCTGCAGGCCCATCAGCACTGCCACTGTGAGGGTCAGTGGAGGGCACTGTGCTGCTGAGCCGGGAGCCCGAAAGGCTGGGTCTTACATAAAGCAGACTTATCAGGATTCGAGCTCGTCAGATGGAGAGGAGGAGTCTGCACAGTGGCTCCTTAATGCCTGCACTCCAGCTTTGTGGGCCATCTCTGAGGGCGCTGGGAGGCACCCTTCTTCAGGACAGTGGCTTGTCTTCACAGACATAGCCCTTCTTCGTGCTGATGAGGGCACTGTCACTGTGCCCCCAGGGTGGGGCATGAACCTCACAGCGCTGTCACAGCTTGGTGCTGTCGCCCCTATCTTACAGGTCAATCCTCCCTTTAACCACCCACTTTTGCAACGAGCCCCATGGATTGGTCATCAGGAGCCATGGGGCAGCACAGCTACCCAGACAGCAGAGGCTATGGACCATCACCTGCACTGTCCAAAGCAGCCGCCAGCAGTGCCATGCCCACTTCAGCATAAAGTGAGTAAGTCAAGTCACTGGAGTGAGCCCTCAAAGGGTCATGGGACCCCTGGCCCCGTCCTCTCTCTCTCCATCTGCTTCCCAGATGCCACATATGGGGATCCCTGAGGTGAAGCTCTACCTCACCACATCACCCAGAAGCCATGGCACCAAAAGACCATGGCCTGAGCCCCCAAAACCACAAGCTTAGACCCCTTTACAGTGATGATCTCAGCCATCCCAACCATATGTGACATGCTCCACAGCTTGGGCTCAACATCACAGGAGTTCCTTCAGACCAATCGTGATGGTCTGTGCTTTAGAATAATTAAGAACACAGTTGGATATGTAAATATGAAGTAAGTAAATGAATTATCATCGGTGGTTTAAAGTCAAGAATGAATTATTAAGTTTCTGAAATATGTTAATAATGTTTAGAAATATGTTAATAATAATCAAAAAAATAATTTCAAAAGGTGTCCACACAACATACACTAAACAAAATAGGCAAAGTGTTTTGTGATCAACACTATTATACCTCAGAAACTTAGCTCACACTGAGAAAGATTGCTTGAACTTAAAAAAATAAAAAAATTCTCATTTTAAAAAAATTAAACAAAACTCCATTTAAGTTAGTGTATTTTTATATACAATAAAAGCCTCCTTAGTCATGATCTAAGCAAACTATAGTCAAATTCATTCATTCCTTCTTTTCAAAAAGAAGTCAAACTGGATGTTCAATAGTCCCCTGTGATTATTTCTCTTGAAGTCAGTTCCCTGTGTCTTCACCCCATCTGCAGCCTAGAATGCATGGATAATGGGGACAGTCTCAACCAGGAAGCAACACTTGCTATGGTGAGCCACGTCCCTTCTGACCCAACTCCCTGGCTGGCTTGGCCAGGACTTTACATGGCCCACATTAAGTGCAGCTTGTTGAGCTGCCCCAAATTAGCAAAACCTTATTCTAAGAGAGCAAACATCAACACCATAGGGATAAAGAATGTTTCTAGAAAAAAAGATGATTGTTACCAAAAAATTACACTTTAAAAAGTCCTGAGGATTTCATAAAAGAATAACAGTCTATGTCAGTCAAGCCCAACTTTATCCAAAAAAAGTAAATTTCAATAGAAAGTTAACATGACACATTTCTAGAACAAGCTTACAGTTAGAAGAAAATGTATTTAAAGCAATTTTTCTTACAATTTTTATACCACAATTCTCAAAGATTTCCAAATTACACCTCAAAAGAAAAAAAAAAAACATGTCACCACATGATGCTAAGTCTAACCCATGAAGGGATCTTAGAATTTCCCAGACCCTAGTATATCTATCTCCTACTGACACAAAGACATGTTTGTTGTGTCAGCTATTCTTACAGTCACCTTTTAAAAGTTACTGAAGCAGTCTCATTTTCTGTACCTATATCATGGTTTAATTACGACTTCTACAGTGTAAATAATATGCCAGAGTAGAAAATACCCTTCTAAAATCTTAAAATGTCTGACTGCTCTAATAGAAATAGTCTTCAATAAATATTTATTTGGGTGGAATTCTTTTTTTTGTTCCACAATAGCTTTGCAGTATAATTTCAGGTCTGGGATTGTGACGCCCCCTGACTTGCCTTTGTTGCCTACAATTGCCTTTGCTATTCTAGGTCTCTTCTGGTTCCAAATGAATTTTAGGAATGCTGTCTCTAGATCGGTGAGGTATATTAATGGTATTTTGATTGGGATTGCAATTAAATCTGTATAGCAGTTTTGGGAGTATGGCCATTTTCACTATGTTGGTTCTTCCTATCCAAGACCAAGAGGTATTTTTCCATTTTTTCCTCTTCATTCGCCTTTTTTAGGGTACTGCAATTTTCACTGTACAGATCTTTCACAACCTTTGTTAAACTGATTCCTAAGTATTTCATTTTTTTAGACGCTATTGTGAAAGGTGTATTTTCCCTACTTTCTCTGTGAATTATTGCTTATGTACAGGAATGCTATTGACTTTTGAGTGCTGACTCTGTATCCCGCTACACTACTGATTTTGGATATTAAATCTACAAGATTTTGGTGGAGTTTTGGGGGTCTATTATGCAGCGTATCATGTGATCTGCAAATAATGATAATTTAACTTCTTCCTTTCCTATCTTTATTCCTTTTATTTCTTTTTTCTCTTGTCTAATTGCTCTGGCTAATGTTTCCAGAACTATATTGAATAGGACTGGTGATCACGGACATCCTTGTCTTGTTCCTTATTTTAGACTGAAAGATTTCAGTTTCTGACCATTTAATATGATATTAACTGTTGGTCTATCATAGGTGGCGTTTATAAAATTGAGGGAGAAACCATGTATCCCAAATTTCTATAGGGTTTTTATCATGGGTGCTGGGCTTTGTCAAATGCTTTTTCTGTATCTGAGATGATCATGTGATTTTAGTGTGTGGTTCTGTTAATACGGAGTATTACATTTATTGATTTGCATTTGTTGAACCATCCCTGCATCCCTGATATGAATCCTACTTGGTCATGGTGTTTGCCACTATTTTATTAATGGTTTCTGCATCAATGCTCATTAGGGAAAATGGCCTGTAGTTTTCTTTCTTGGTTGGGTTTTCTCTGGTTTTGCAATCAGGGTAATATTTGCTTCCAGAAATGATTTTGGAAGTACTGTTCCCCTTTCAATTTCTCTAAAGAGTTTCAGCATTAATGGCATCAGTTCTTCTCTAAATTTCTTACAAAATTCAACAACGACAGGACCTAGGATTTTCTTTGTTAGGAAATTTTTAATTACATTCCAATTTCATTGGCTGGTATCAGGTTATTTAGAATTTTTATAACTTCCTGATTTAGTTTTGGCAATTCAACTGTGTCTGGGAATCTGTCCATTTCATCTGAGTTTTCTATCTTATTAGAATATAGGTTCTCATCGTAGGTATTAACGATCTCATGGATTTCTGTGGGATCTGTTATGATTTCCCCCTTTTCATTCCTAACTGCTTGAATTTATGTTTTTTCTTTCCTCTTTGTGATTTTATTTTTTTTTCAAAGAACCAACTTTATGCTTCATTGATTCTTTGTATTGTTTTCTTAGTCTCTATTGTATTAATTTCTGCTCTTATTTTTATGATTTCCTCCCTTATATGAGCTTTGGGTTTGATTTGTTGTTCTTTTTCTAAAAGTCTGAGGTTCAAAATTAGGTTGTTTATTTGAGCTCATTCTGTTTTCTCGATGTGTCAGTTCACCACTATAAATTTCCCTCGTAGGCTTTCATTGAATCCTGTAAGTTTCAGCATGTTGTATCAGCATTATAGTTTCATTGTAGGTAGTTTTTAATTCCATCCTTAATTTCCTCTGGACTCACTGCTTGTTCAGAAGGGTTAATCTCCGTGTGTTAATGTAGTTTCTGTAGTCTCCTTTGTCGCTGATTTCCAGTTTCAATGTGCTATGGTCAGATAGCATGCATGGGGTAACTCCAATTCCTCTACATTTACTTAAACATGAAATTCTGAATACATTCATTTCACCAAGCTGGTGACTTGGTTTCCAGACACATAAAGAAAGCAAAAGCTTCAAAGTAAACAATAATTACAATAATAATCAGAGGAAAAGATTTTTAAGTGCTACTGAATTCACAGGTTTAGAATAAAACGAAGTTTTCAAATTCTACCACCAAAAAAAGCCTACAGCAAATTAAATGTTTCTACAAAACATTTTCTTCTCAGGAAGCTTATGAACAGGTGTTTACATAAAGGCTCAGGTAGTTTTCTGCTCAATGGACTAAGTTAACCTAGAAGTATAAAACCAGCTTCATCCCACAGTCCTGCATTCACAGAATCTTTAAAGACCTAATGTGAGGACTCTTGACTGTTTTTTCTCAGCCCTTCATTGTAAAGAAATGATATGTTCTACTGTACTTAAAAACAAGGATACTCCTGTGGGCATTCCCGCTTTATATCAACAGCTAACTACAAGAATGAACTTATTTTAAGTAACTTATTTTAAGCCACTAACATTATCACAAGTATTAGCTTATCTGATGAGTTTTTTCTTAAATCAGTGGGAGAAATAGCTAGGATACAGAATGCCAGAAAAAGCATTGAAAGGGGAGGAGGATGGGCCCCAAACCTTTTATATGTCAGCTTCTCCTGAACTCACAGTTTGTACTGTCTCAAGTTAAACACACAGTGGCCTTAAATTCTCTCTAGAAAAACACAAGGTGGACACAAACAGGTGATACCCAGCCACATATCAATCTGGTAGCTGAGGCTCTCTGCCCTAAATGCTCAGAAATAAGGGAAGACAGCTTCCCCTGGTTTAGGGAAGCAAATTCTATTTCTTCAGAAATACAACAGCTTCTTTTCAAATTATGATTTCTCATAAATAAAATGCAAACAAACAGAACACTCCATTCCTCTTTACGTTCATTAAATCACTGCTGTTTAGAAATGAACACTGAGCAGCCACTCACTGCCTCGTCCTATGAAACTAAGCCCAGGGACCGTGTCAGAGCAGATATGAAGTCCATAAATAGGTTTGCAGAGAGGGACAAAACTTACTGTTCAGAACATTCTCCAGTTTCTGCGTCATGGATCCTTCTACTTTTTCCGTTCCATCCGCTTCTAGTTTTTGATGGATGGCTAGAAAAAAACATCCACTTCAAATGTAGGCCATTTAATGGGTGGGAAGATATTATATCAAAACGACATTTTTAAACAGCTGTAAAAGGCAGCCATACTATTTCCACAACTGAAAAGGAGCATAAACATTGCTCTGCCAAGTCCCTCGCAAACAGCATCTAAGTCATTTGGAGTCTAGTGTTATTAAAATAGCACACAACACACAAACTTAATCATCTGATCCTCAAGACTGAGTAGTGAAAGGGGTTGGAAGAGGAAAAAGAAGGAAAAAAGAGCAGTGAGACAAAAGCACACTGGGTCTCATTAGTAACATCAGTGCCACCAGCTGCAAGGTGGGGGAGGGGAGAGAAGGGAGGGGGAAAAGAGGTGAGACGGGATTTGTCTGCACACACACTGCCTGTGACAAATGTAATCATGTACTGCAAACATGCATGAATAACAGTAAACATTGAAAAGACAGAAATACTAAAATTTGGAGACTACCAACCTCAAATAATGTAATTTCAGCCTTGGGATATAACACAGCAAAATATATTTTATGTTCTACTCACAATAAACAATTTCCTGAAGGTTCCAAAATATGTATCTATATCTAGCACCATCTACCAATATATCAGCTCTGCATGTATAAACTACACAAGAGTTTTTTGCCATTATTAATTTATGGGTGTCTGATTCTGATGAAGATTATTAGGGAATCACTTAATATATATATTTTGAAAACCACTGAAGAAGGGAGGTTTTAAACAGTAAATTAGGCTTATTTACATGAAGAGCTAAGAAAATTTTCAAAACAAAATAGTCAAACATAAATCCAAATTTGAAACTGTGATGTAACACAAAGAAATAAAAATAGCACAATACACATTAACGAACCATGACTGTAAGCTAAGCACTAGAGTAGCTAACGCAGGGTTGTGAGAAGTCAGAAGTCTGTGATACACGTTCTAACACCATTTCCACTGTACAGGTAAGAAAACTAAAGCTCCATAAAACTAAACAAGGTGACCAAGTTCGCAGAGTCAAAACCAAAATGTGAACTCCAGCAATATGATCCTAGTGCTTAGGACCTCAGCCCACACGCCCACACAGCAGGGACAAGCAACTCAGAAGGCCCACGACTCTGTGTTCAAATCCCTCAGATGAGACCAATAAACTTACTATCAGCTGAGAACTGTATTCAGTTGCAAGTAAGAGGCCTCCATTCCCCGAAGTACTAGCTACTAAAACATTCGGGATTTCTCTTATTTCCTATAATTTGCTGTAATGAAAACCTAAATATGAGATGCTTAACTCCATGGCTTGACAGCTAGCGCATCGCTAAGTACTAGCTGGTCTCCAACATTCAAACAGTAAAGCTCTTAAAAGGGACTTGGAGCACCTTAACCCATGAGCCACAGATAGCAGACTTATGATTAATAAAAGAAGCAAAAGTCTGCCTACCTGAACGTGTATGTTCATTTCTTCCTAAGGTCTATACGGCTCAACTCATTTCTTCTGACTCACTTGGTCAGGAAATCTGTAGGCAAGTTCATTGCTCAAATGAGCTAAGAACCAATTCTCAATCCTTAACAACTATTTCTCTGCTTCTTTTAATTAATTCATATTTTGCTGTCTGAAATTTTTTTTCTGGTAAAGCCACATCAAATTTTGTTTGAAATTCTAAAATGAACACGCTGCTCCTCTGTTGAAGACATACATTCATAGAAAACATAAGAAATACATTTGGTAAAAAAAAAAAAAAAAAAACCACTGTATTTTTAACTGTCTCAGTTGATTTTAGGAATGAAGAGAATGTAATTCCTTTAATGCTTCAAATTTGGACTGTGTGAACAGTGACACAGAATGTTTCCATGTATCAAAGCTTAAGTTCAACTTCCACTTGGGAAGATAAGTGGAAAAGAACTTTCCTGCCCTTATGGGAAGGAGACACACGATGCCTACATATTAAAAAGCCAAACCAGAAAGATTTCTAAGCTCTGCAGAGCAAACCTGCTCATGTTCTTTACTTAAATGCTGCTGCAACTTTCTGACAACCCCACTTGCAGCACAGCGCCTTCCTTCAAGCAGGCCCTGCACATGGTCTGCCAGGCAGCAAGAAACTGCATGTCACGTCACACAGCCCTGCCTCCAGGGCCAGCCTTCGAGGCCATCATGCAGCCAATGCTCTGATGCTGACCTAAGCCATCACTGATCGGAGGGTCACAGCAAGGTGACATGCTCCCGGCTCAGTGGCAGCCCTTTCTGCTGACAGAGCAGCTCCCTCCCTCCCTGCCCTCTCCGGCACAGAGAGTCACTGTCAAACTGTCAGCCAAGCATGAGGGTCAGAGACACCGGGATCTGATAAAGGCAATCCTATTTTTCAGAAAATTAAACCAAACAACCCAGTGTCTGCTTAACTCGCCTTTTATTTTCTCTGAAAACATTTTTAAATAGAATAACTCAATAAGCAAGTTGGTACATGATCATAGGTTTGTTATTGTTTCTAATCTATTAAAGCTTAAATATGTGAAGCAGTTGACTATCCTGGGTCTATGTTTGGGAAACAAAAACAATATAAAAGTACTATGGAAGGAAAACGAGGGTTATTGAGTGGAATTGTTTGATCATTTTTTTTTAACTTGACTGAAACAGGGGTGTCTCATTTGTAATTCCCATCAAAAAAAAAAAAAAAAAATCGAAGTACCTGCCATGCGTTTCTATAAACACCTTTGGTAAGCGAGCGCCAGGGAGCGCAAGGGATGCCAGGGCACACACACGGCGGTACCTTCACAGGCCCCGCCCTCCGCACGGTGTGCACAGCCGCTCAGTGTAGACAGGCATGCTCGAGCTGGCCCCGAGAGGGCCACACCATTTCTGCAGACAACTGGAGAATAAAATTTTACCCAGCCTCTATCATATAGTCATCATTTTGATTTCTTTCCCTTTTCTTTTAGCAAACCTTGAAAAATACAGCCACTCTTCACTGCCAGCCTAAAGATAGTATTGAACAGGGGGTGACCAGGGTAACACGTACAGGCTTCCAAACATCTAGGTCATACTTTTTATTCTACCAAATCTGTGTGTGTTCCGGCTGGGATGCTGAGTGTCTCCAAGGGTTGGTCCAAGGGTAGCACGATGGGAAGAGGACCCTGTGGGTGGCCAGTGAGGTACACCCTGCAAGGGCTGCAGAGCCCTGGCCTTTCCCCCTTCTCCTCTCTGTGTTCTGGATCTGAGGCCAGTGGCCTGCTGCACCACACCGTGCAGTGCCACGTCACCCACATGCCCAGCACGCCCCACCACCTCCTAGACTGTGAGACCCAGAGCTGAGAGGAACAAGACGCCTCTTCTCTTGCACATCAGTGGCATCAGTCACCCTAGGTACCTCATTCCACGGGTGGGAATCTCACGGCGCAGAAGAGCCTACTAAGGGGAATCACACTTGAATGGGTTCAGCAATGCTATTCATCTCCTTTGGTTACACTGAAGAAAATCAAGGCACAACTTCAGCTACCACACAGATGACTAAGAGAAAGGCTGCCGGTATAGCTCAGCAGCACAAGTGCCTGCCTGGCAAGTGCGAGGTCCCGAGTTCAACTCCCGGTACCTAAAATAAAAAAAGATGACTAAGAGATATGAATGGCTCACTTAGACAGGTAGGACCTAGACAGGAACACCCAGCTAGATCACCTTACACAGCAAGACATTACCCAGAAAATGTGCACGACCACTCAGCTCCCAGCCTGGAAGCCAGCAGCAGGGAGGGGTGGCACAGGCAGCACAGTGTCCTCTGTTCACCTCCACTGCAGCACATGCAGGCAGCCGGGGTGAGCTGCGCCCCACACACTCCACCTGCTCCGTGGAGGGCCACACAGGAGGAAATGCGCCCAGGACCTGACCCCAGGAGCCCAGGGGCAGATGGGGAATGGATACTGAAGCAAGGGAGGCCAGGCAGAGGCACCCAGGGCTCCATGACCCTCACTCAGCATGACCAGGGCTCCATGACCACCTCTGCCGCCCGGGGTGGACAGTGCAGCCGCCAACAGGCCAGGGCTGCCAAGGAGGTTGAGGGCCTGGGAAGGAACAGCAGAGTCAAAGCCTTGGAAAATGGAAGTCTGGTTTTGGGAATGGTTTCTCAGAATACTGGAAGGGGAAAAAAAAACCAAACACACTGAGGTTAACACGGCAGGCACACAACTCTAGACACACTGCTCGCAGTGTTCTGGTTGAAATACCTGCAGGTACTCATGGAACAAAAGCAAAACTCAGAGAAGCAGCATGGCTGCTACTAACTGCAAACCTGACAGGGCCAGGCGGGAAGCACCCACTCACGGGGAAGAGGGCTGGAGAGAGTAGCAGGCGGTCAGTGAGACCAGAACTGTCTCCAATCTTTCCCATGTACTTTTGTAGTCCTCACCGTCAGTAACTCCTTCCCTCTGTAGTGACCAACATCCCCATGTTCGGCGGGCAGGAAGGGAATTGCCGGGGGAGGCACATGTCAGGGCACCCACTGGGGGCGGGTGCTGGGCACCATGCACACAAGAAAAAGTAGTATGTTTCTACAGGGCCATTTGGGGGCCAGCCACATATGACACCTGACAAGAGAAAAGTTCTCAGAACTGAAGGTACCAGGTCTACAGATTCCAAAGGTGGTAAGTGTTGGGTGAAGTGCACGGACGTAGCCTGTATTCCAGTGTAGCCTGCAGCAATGCCCTCCCTCCACCTGTCTTCTCTCTGCCCTCCTTCCTTTGCCCCCTCCGCCCCACCTCTCCTCCCTGGCTCTCTCCCTTCCTTCTTTCCTTTTTTAAATTCAAGGCTAAACAAATACACCTTTTAAGCAACCAAAGAACACAGGAGGGAGGAAGAACAGTGCAGTGAGTCTGGATCTTGTGTCCATGGCCTCGTGTGAGAGGCTCAGGCCCTCACTGCTGGGAGGCGGCGGGAACTCAAGGCTGTGGGCCCCCGGGGAGGCAGCAGCTCACTGCCTCTGCAGGGACATCTGGCCCCAGCCCCTTTCTCACTGGCTCGCTCTCTGCTGCCTGCCACTCTTAAGGGGGCAGTGTTGATTCCCCACACCCCTGCTGCGATGCACAGTGACTGGGCCAAAATCCAGAGAGCCCACTGACCATGGATGGAACGAAACTTGGCACTGTGAGTCAAATAAACCCTTTCTCCTTTAAGTGTTTACTGTGAGTACCGCATCACAGCAATGGCAAGCAGGCTGACACAAGCATTTAGGTAGAGATAAAAACAGATAACTAGCAAATAACAGACTGAATGTTGGCTCAGGGCTTCTCTACAACACCAAGGGCACTGGGTCAATCCCTTCAAAAAATGACTCTCTCACTGAGCAGTGGTTGTTCACGGATGAAGGCAAGAAACACTTTCAGACATCCAAGAATTCAAAAATACAGCACAAACAATATACCTCATTGCTCAAAAATAAAAATTCAAAGATATAATATTCCTAGTGATAAGCATTAAAAGCAATTAAATTTACATGAATATACAGTAAAATGTCATATAACTATGATAAAATTAAATGCAAAACATAAAAATAAATCTAAACAACACTGAAAGGAAAAAGTAAAGAAAGAATCTGAGCCTATAACTTCAAGTTAAATTAAAATAAGGAAAAAAGCACAGAAAACAATATGCCTAACTGTGGTCACTTACAACAGAAGTCAACAGTGCATAATAGAATTTTAAAACATTTCTCACAAATTTCCAAACATAGGGTACACAGAAAAGAATGAAGAAGCAATAATTGAAAAATAACACAGAATTTTCATTATGATGAATATAAATGGTATAAATTCTTCTATTAAAAGGCAAGGTTCTCAGAGTGGTATTATTAAAATAAAAATCCTACCATATGTTGCTTACAAAACACAGGCCAAAACAAAACACTTCTGAAACTTTATTTTAAAAAAATATTACAGATAGGACTATGATACAGCCTAAGATGTATAAGGCCCTGAGTTAATTCTTCAACACCAATAAAACAATTTTTTAAAAAAATTATGGATAATCTATCAAATAAATACTTACAGAATGAAGAACATAAAATGTTAACATTGTTATGACACAGTGAAGAATTTGATTACCACCTCGCAACCCTGACCCTTCAAAAAGGTCTGGCTTTCACCCTCAACTCCATAGAGGTGCTCTCTAAACCTCTTGGGATGTGCTGCCTGACCAGCCACACACTGACATATGAGAGTCAGTATTGTCCACGATTCCCTGGGGAGAACGGAACTAAAAGCTCCATACAGGGCTTCCCTTGGCCCTGCCATATATGCCCCTTCCCTCGGCTATGATTTGTGCCTTTTCCCTGCAATAAATCGCAACTCTGAATACAAGAGCTCTCAGTGAGTTCTAGGAGCCCTTCTAGCAAACTGCCAAACCTGTTCTAACATTGACATTAAAGAGAGTAGAACCGCCAAATTCACAAAGCAAACATAGGCTTCACATACAGGGAAAAACTGACAATCAAAATCAAAGAAAGCAATTAAGCAATGCTAAAAAACAAGAACTTAATGCAATACAGGATTTCAAGGGAAAAAGAAACCAAATAAACAAAACAGAAGTTTTTAAAATATATGTGTATGTGTGTGGGGAACATCAGCTCCTTGTGTCATAGGCCAGATGCTGGTGTCCACCCCAGACCCCATAGCCCCTGACCCACTCTGATGTCCCCAGCAGGGACAACCAGACACTGCAGGACTCCTGCAATGGGACAGAAAGTACACACTACCACCTGTGGCGCAAACTGGAAATTCAATCTTATCCAAGGTCCAGCAATTCGAAGAATAATGATCCTGTTTCCTCCATAACATAAAAAGTAAAATAGGGCTGGGGATTTAGCTCAGGGGCACAGCGCCTGCCTGGCAAGCTCAAGGTCGTGAGTTCGATTCCCAGTACCGCAAAAAAAAAAAAAAAAAAAAAAAGTAAAATAAAAGGGATGATCCAGCGAAGCAGAGCAGACTACTCCACTTTGAAAAAGCCTGAGGAGATTTAAAATCTAATGAAATACCTGCACTTTGAATCTTTATATGAACAAATTAACTATAAAAACAGGGTAACTGGACATGAATATAAGCTGACAAAAAAACTAAAAGGAAACATCAAAATATTGTGATTACCTCTACCAGGGAGGTAGGTCTTGCTAATTATTTGTTTAATGTTTTCTGTAATATGCATTTTTAACAACTAAGGACAGAATCTAAAGTTTTCAAATTTACTATTATAATGATTTTACTCATGGCCGAAAGTCACCTGCTTATTAGTAACTGGTCAGCGTTATCTTTGTGCAATTTTAAATTTCCAATATATTCTTACGGCAAATATCTAGTAAACTAGACTACATAAATTTAACACACCAAACAAAACTTTTTACAATCTGCCAATAGCGAAGCCATTTCTAGGAGTAAAACCATAAATAACACCACACGCATGTGCATGTAAGTACAAACAGCCCATTATAACAGTAATATTAAGAGAGTACAAGCTGCAAAATTTACAAAGCAAACGTAGGTGTTTTTGTTTTTTACATGCTCGTGTCTCTCCTGCTCACATGGTAAGAGTAACTGCTAATACTGAAAGACGACAATAATAAACCAAAGAAAGAAAGGCACCACATCAGGGGGCATAGTGTGTGCTCATCAAAGAGCACCGTGCCCTGCTGCCTTGTGGCCACTCACATCTGACCCCTTCAAAACCCTGACCTCCACCTGCAGGGAAGGGGCTGCATCAGATATACACTTACTGAGGAAAGTAGTTTTAAAAGCAAAGACATCTGCACTTCTAGAATATCAATGAATTTAAAGTAAATTGTCTGTCTGGGACAGAAGACAGTACAGCCTCTTGGGAGATAATATTAATTATGGATACACAACCCTACTGGAACATGGGTATAGGTACCTTCACTTCTAGAAAGAACTGAGTTAATTTTTATTAAATTGGTAATGCAAGCATGTACTAATAAAAGTTTTTTTAAAAATAAAGGGGGCCAACTGCTATTAATATACTTATTTTTCAGAGATAAACATAATTAAACTTGTATCAATTAAAGGCAGTTTAGAAAACTTCCCCAGCATCCTTCATGGAAGCGTCAGAAGCTATGAGGTCTCTCCACACAGAGATGGAGACCACAGGGCACAGCATGTGCTACGGAACAGGCTGACTGCGCCTGCATGCAGCAGGGCAAGGTACTGCACAGGGACCCACGCCGAGCACCCAAGAGGTCCAGCTGACAGAATGCGGCACATGCGTAGGCTTTTGAGAATCCTGAAACTTCACTCAGCGGTATTTAATTTTTACCAACCCCGAGCTCAGAGAGAGGAAGGGCACCTTCACGTCACCACATAAGATGGTCAACAAAGGCTTAGACGCAAATATTTAAAGGATCAGGCCTTCAAAGAGATTCCGCCCTCCTCTGCAACAAGTATTTATGGTACGTTTTAATCTCTGCTTTTATAAATACGGCTGAAGTCGCACCCTGTAAACACGTGACAAGCACAGGCTCGGGTTTCTGCAGGGGCTCGCAGATGGCCCCAGATCACCTTACCTGAGAGGGCATCTTGGGCTTCAAAGAATGTGCTGAGCCCACCCTTGACGCAGGCCAGGCTGCCCTCGCTCTTCTTGTTGGCCTGCCTCTTCAGATTGGCCACTGCCATCTTGAGCTGCTCAAAACTGAAACAAAACACAACCCAAACGTCTGAGACTCCTTATAAGCAGAAGAGAAACAAGGTCATTCGTTACATGTAACATCCTGGGAATGCCAAACCGTGGATCAGTGGCATACAGATTAGGAAAACATACTTGGCTGAAGACAAAACTCTTGCAAATCCTTCTCTAAAACTTTTATTATGGTCCTTAAAGCTATAAAGAGCTTTGTAGTCTTGAATGCTAATTTCAAATGTGTCAGGCCCACAACTAAACATGTTATGTATTTTTAGAACCTGTGTATAATAACACACAATTTTCCAGGTATAGGGCTTTGAGTGTCTTCTACGTGTCAGGAAGACACAGATCTTGCAGTGCTGGGCAACATTCCAACAGCAGGGCTCCCGCACATCCAGCCACGCATCGTGGAACACCAAGCATGGCATCGACCTCCACACATGGATACACAGCCTTCTTGTCCGTGATGAAAAGATTACCTAAGACCTGCGGCTCAGCCCACACTGTAACTAAGAAAGCCTTAGCATTTTTATCTCTGCATCTCAAGCAGAGAGAATGAAAAGGTAGGCCTCTGAATTCCAGAAGTTCTTTTTCTATTTGAATTACAAAAATCTGGCTATAGAACTTCGAATGTATTATTGAGTACCATTAGAGCTCTATACAAAAACAAAACTCCATTCTGAGCTACAGTAAGAGAAGCAGATTGGGCATGGCCCTGCGATCTCAACAACTCAGGAGGCTGAGGCAGGAGGACAGAACATTCAAGCCCAGTCTGGGCAACTTTGTGAAAACCTGTCTGAAAATAAAATCTAAGAAAGCCTGAGGATGTAGCTCCATAGTAGAGCACCCCTCATTCTGATTCTCAGTACTAGAAAAGAAAATGACCATAACATAAAATTAGAATCATTTCTCCAGTAAAAAGAACTCATTTGAGACATCAGGCCGAATTTATATACACCAATTTTTTAAAAATGGTTTTCATCCTAATAAGTAAATGAAAAATTTGTATTAAGGTATATTTTAACAAGCTGAATTTTCCAGAACATAAATTTTAAAGAATAAGCCATTTGTTTTTCCAAATGTTACAAGTGTAACTTTTAAATCAAACTTGCTAAGAAGTCACAAATCTGCTTTTACAGAGTGGGTAAAATATAACTGGCAGACAAAAGGAATCTTTTAACTTGGATATGTTAAAAAGTATCTAATAATTTTCATCTAATTTTAGGCCAGCTCTTACACAGTATGCTTGGTAGTAGGAAAAGCAATGGGCTTTGTATTTTACATAAGAACTTAATATTTTCATGTTATTTGAATAGGGAGACATATATATCACATTCATACACATCAGTTTAGGTTCCCAGCTAAGACTATAAAATTTTAATGAGCTACACAAATAAGGAACACACAGAAACATAAAATGGTGGTAGGAAATAAGAGTTCTCTAAATTTCTCATTTTCTAAATAAGGAAATAGATGTTCACAGACTCACTGAAGTCAAAAAAACTCATCGAGCTAAAGCTCCGTGACCACACATGCACCGCACTCGACCGTCAGGCTGCTGTGTGACCCTAGCACTAGCACCAGGTGAAGCCCTTCCAGCTCCCAGCCCACATCCACAAACCTGGTGGTCGAGTGGTTCTCTATGAGATACCAGGCAGCTGAGAAATTCTCACTTGTGAAATCGGCACTCATTCCATGGAACAGCATCTCTAAGTCCTTCTGGGGAAATCTGCTTCTAAGGAGAAAAAAATTTAAAATGTATTACAACTGTCGCCACAGAAATGTGACAGACATCACCGAGTAGCTAGTGTAACAAACATGAATACAAACGCTCACGGTTATGATAAATGATCACTAATGTTTGTATAAATGCAAGAATGTATTTTCCACATCACAGTTGAATTTCTACTGTGTAAACTTTGTATGTATAAGACAAAAATTAATTAAAATACAGAAAATACATCAATAAACATATGATTTAAAAGAAGATTCAAAACATGAAATTGACCTTTTTATAAAATCTACCAAAATATAAAATCATTCCCCACTCAAAATAAATAAAAAATCCAAATTTGGATACAGTGAAATTTAAAAACACTGAATTGCTTTATTGAAATATTTTCATGAAGGAGCTACGTGAAAGTTGTTTTGAGACATGAAGAAACTCTGAGCAAATTAAAACTCTCCTGCTTTAAACTGTGGTACTGGGTACTGTCTCATCCCAGTGACAGGAAAGTTGACTAATACAGCTTCCTACTGTCACTGCTCAGCCACAAGATGTCCAGCTGCCCTACCACACCCATCTCTCCACAGAAGTCCCATGACACTTAGGGCCCATCCCCGAGGCACAATTTCCAACGGCTTAGATTCCATTTTCCAGAGAGGTGCCCGTCTGGACACAGGACTGCCCCTCGCACCAGGCCATGGCTACTTAGCGTGTGGGCTCCGTGCTCCACAGCTGCAGGGAGCACTGGCTCCTGGTGTCCTCCAGACAGCCCAGTCACCAGGCCCAAGTGGCGAAGGTTGGGAATCTCCATCCTCTGCCTTCACAGCCCAGCATGGCAGTCCCCAAGAAAGTTTTACACAAATCCTCCCCACCTGGACTCTCCTGCCTTATGTTTCCTAAGAGAATAAGGGATGCAAGTAGCAAAACTGTATCTCAGGGATTTCCTTTGCAAACCTGCCTAGTGAGATACCACTTTCCTCTGGAATGGAGTATGTGCTTTGCAAGCCCCTCAGTCAAGACAGAATCCTGCTGTGTGTCCTGGTACACTGACCCTCATCCATGTGAAGGGTTCGTTAACAGAGGTGGGGAAGCCCTGCGAAAGCCATGGTAATGACTGAAGACTCAGCAAGGGTGGTATCATCTCAGTTTAGAAGTTGAGACCATCTTGTACCTTTTCCCACTAGCTTCAAAAGTGAAAAGATCCATAGTCTGAACGTGTGTGTGTGTGTGTGTGTGTGTGTGTGTGTGTGTGTGTTGATTCATTAACTTACGAGTGTTTCTCAGTAGTAGGCACTCTTTGACAGGGAGAAGGAGAGCTCTGCATTTTTACAAGCTTATTTTGGTATGGAGTTTTTGCTGGTTCTGAAACTTTACCCAGTAAGAAAGCCCTGTCACTTCTGTGAGATTTCTTGTTTCATTTAGCTGTATATCAGCCCGTAAGTTAGAAAATGATTGAGTGGAGACTGAGCACACGACTGAGCGCCCCGGTAAAGGGGTTACATCCCAAATGGTTGAGTGTTGAGCACCAGCTTGGTCATCCATAAAACTCTCCTTGTCCTTCTGTCCCTCTGCAGTCCCACCCTAATGGGTCTGGACTGCTATGTGAAGGATCATGTGGCTTTGTCCAACTGCAGGTGTCACAAATATGAGGGAGAAGCCCCGGGTGGCATGCAGACTGTGTTTCTGTCAACCTTGTTTCTATACATGGGCATTCTCCATTGTGCCTAATGGTTTTTTGGGTCAGGAACCAAAAGAACCAAAAAGCCCTACAGAATTGCTAGATGTGTGGTTATGAACAATTCAATACAAGAAAGCGTCATCTAAAAAGGATCAATTCCAAATGCATATGTTAAGGTCACGGCCGGGAAAAAGGGCCACAGTGGGACTCTGTGAAGCCAATCTGGGCGTCTGCATCTCTCCCATGAGCTCTGCGGGTTCAGCTGGATGAAACGCTTCCTTGCCACCTCACAGTGGAAGGTGGAAAGGGAGCGTGGGCATTAAGAAAGGACTTACAGAAAGGGCACAGGATGGAAGGACAGCAAGTAAAACAAAAAATATAAAATGCAGGTATAAAACTCAAAAATACAGCAGTTGCATGTCCTGACATCTGTCTGAGACTACAATCTCCATGAGTCTGACAACTAAACCCTGCTCAACAGTTAGCTTTAAAAAACACACAAAAAAATGTTTAATGGGATGAAAAGGGGTTACATCCCAAAATTAAATGCCTAAAGTGCAGTTCTGAAAGACGTAAAGCTGTAGCTCTCCAGAAACTCCCAGTCTCCACTCAATATTTAAAGTTCACCTGCTTCTTAAACTTCAGTAATGTGTTATTTACAATATACTAAATTGTTACAAATTAAGATTGATCTCTGTTGTATGAGAAGATGGAAGCCTAACATGTAGGGAGGGCTCTAGGAGAAGAGCCCTCACATCTCTCCACAGAAGTCCCATGACACTTAGGGCCCATCCCCGAGGCACCGAGGGTGTGCTTCCCTCACACCCCAGGTGAGGCCTGAGTCCTCAGTCCTCATGGAGAGCGCAATGGGCCTGGAGCAGTGCGGTGAGGCGCTGGTGACGATAACAGCCCAAGGGGGCGCAGAGGTTCCAAAGCTCAGCACCCCCATCTCTCACTGTCCAACTGTGCCACCAGCAGGATCAGGTGGAGGGAGGGTGGGAGACCCTGAACTGCACTCTGGGTCAGTGTGAATGAGGAAGAGGGCTCCTGGAGAGCTCTTGCTGAGGTGAGAGTGTCCTGCATCGCATTCCCCACACACACTCAGCTCCCTCAGGTTCTCAAATGGGCTGGGCAGAATCTGAAAAGCACTGGATCTCTAGGTCCAAATACCTAAGCCCACATAATCACCTTGAGGATTAACTATATTTTTCAGTGATTTTTTTTTTTTTTTTTTTTTTTTTTACTGAAGACATATGCCGACACCTAAACTAGAAATCATACTTATAAGAGTGAGAAAGAAATTATTTTCAAGAAGTCAAAATTCTAACACATAGATGTCAAGTCATTTTGTCCAACTCACACAATGAAGTCCAGATGTGGATCATACAGAAACACAGACCCACTGTTAGCAGACCCAGTTGGCCAGTGGCTCTCCAGTCACTCTGGGCCACTCAACTGGAGGAAACCCACATCCCAGCTTGCGGCTTCCCTGGATGAGATCAGCTATCTCAAGTCAGCCAGGCCTGCACATTTCCCTTCCTGCTTCTTATTGGGGACCTTTACTTTGCCTGATAATGTCTCAGGAAAGACTGGCTAGAGCCTTCCTGCCAAAGGTCTCCACACTTTTAAGAAGGAGAACCTAGAAGAAGACAGCATCTTTCTGCCTTCGGACATCACTGCGTCTCACGTCAACACCAGAAACTGCTAACACCATTCTGTAGTTACCAAGGAAATCAGTTTTATGCTAAGGGCGGCAGAATAGCAAACCTGAGTTTCTCAGATCTCAGGGACATCTGAGTCAGTGCCTGAGCCAGTCTTGGATTCTGCCCTCTGGTACCTCAGAGAGTATGAGAAAAGAAAGGTCCTTTTGGTTTAAGCCAGATGAATTTGCATTTTCTGCTTCCCGCAGCTGTAAGCACCCTCATTTAATAGTCTATCCCTGAACATACTGCTCTTTTATGTATAAACCTCAACAATGTGAGGTAGATGATCTGAAAAAAACAAAGTAATGGATGGAGAGGAAAATCAGCGACACTCCAGGGGAGAATGCGCAAGTGCGAATCCTCATCCCAGCATTCACAAGCATGCAGCAGTGCCAGGCAGCAGCCCAGAGCACAGGCACTGCATTGCAGCTCAGTTTCTGAGTTTGTCTGCAGGCCTGGGAGACACCCCCAAGTCACAACAGTACTGAGACCCTAATTCCTCCTTCTGCAAAGACCAAGACCATTGAAGCAGACCAGCTTGTGGAAGGTTAGCAGTCTCTGAAACACAGCAAGTGCTCAAAAATGTCATTTGCTGCTACTTCTTTACACTTGGTCTTTCATATCTTACACATTACTTTCATAAGCATCATTACATCCCACTCTCATCACAAAGAGTAAATGAAAACCGTCACACGCCACGGAGGAGTGTCCTCACAGAGGTTACACTGTTTCCCAGTGCTTCTCCTGTCAGAGCCAGAGGATTTTAGGGAATAAAATCACATCACAAACCTATGAAGATAAAGATGCAGCGGCCTGGTGAAGGGGGAGGTGACTCGGGAAGGACAACGCTAATGATCTAGGAACAGCACTGGGAAAGGAAGAAGTACTGCGCAGCTCCGAGGACGGTGCACAGGCTGGCCACTGCCTGCAGTGCTGGTCGGAGTAACTGCCGCAAACTCGGCCTCCGAGCAAGTGAAGCCGCAGCTCGCCCGTCAGCAAAAGCTGGATATGTCCTGAGAGACTCACACCGAGTCTGCATGTTCGATCTACAAGCGCGGAATGAGAGGCGGAAGACAACACATGCTCCGCTGTGAAAACTCAGAAATATTTCCATCAAGGAGTCTAAACAGTTTTAAATGCTGACAACTCCTGGCTCTCCTCTCTTCCGCTGGATGCCAGTGCAAACTCAAGATTTAAACCTCCTGACCAGGGTGAGCCCCTCGTGCACATGCGGGTGAAGACAGATGGAGACAGACGGAGACAGACGGAAGACAACTGGGATGCTCACAATGTGTCAGCACGTGCTTTCCAGCATGAGGCCCGTCTGCGGCATTGATCCCTGTGATGCACGAAATGGCACCGCTACTGCCCCGAGAGCCTGGCCCTGCGCCGTGCAGGGGCCTCTTCCCAAAGCGACAACTGCAGATGGGCGGAGAGTGCGCCTGGGTGTCCTCGCACTGCCCGTTTTCCTTCTTTCAGCTTTCAGTGTTTAGGAACACTGTTTAGACTGCTGCGTTATATAAAATGGGTTTGTTTTGGTTGTTTCTATCTAACTCTTCTAATCTGAATGTAGGCACCCTATTACAGCCCACAAATGTCCAAAAGGTGAATTCTTTCAAGGCTCTCCTAAGAATTATTTTGCTGTCAATTTTTTTTTTAATGGAGCCTTCTAAATGTCATGGGAAAATTAGTCACTTCTTTCTGTTGGAAAGCTAAGCTGATTAGCAAAAACTCAGATGTGTGCCATTTGTAAAACCCATGTAGAGAACTGGATACTCCAGTATATGCCTGTAATCCCAGCTACTCAAGAGGCTGAGGCAGGAGACTCACAGGTTCAAGGCCAACCTGAGCAACTTAGTAAAACACTGTCTCAAAATAAAATTTTAAAAAGAGGTGAGGATGTAGCTCAGCACTCCCTCAGTTCAATCCCGAGGACCACAAAAAGAAAAAGGAGGAAAAAAATGATGCCCAGGTGGAAACAAAGCACATATGGGGAATGCTCTCCGGACAGCCATTCCCAGGCAATGGTTCACACAAACTGCTGACAGGCAAATGTGAAAAACTGGCACAGCGCCATCGCGCTGCTCCAATCCACACCCAGGGGCATACTATCTCTGAACAGCACTGCAAACATCCTCCTGCCAGGCAGTGAGTACTACTTCTAAGAAACAAAACTCAGTGCAGGCTCTCGCTCACTGTCAATCTGTTCTTCACCTTGTTTCTGGTTTAGTTTGTCGCCACTATGCTGAAGCCATGCTCAGGACATACGTATTTGTGCCACAGAACATAATAAATCAGAAATACAGACCTTTTACAAGCCACTCTTAGTCTAACTCAAAGTGAAGTTATTTCTTCTGACCAATTAGTAACATTTTTATAAATGTCATGGCACCATGTATGCAAAACGTCAGTTAAAAGTTCAGGGATATCAAGGATTCTAACAGCGAAAGGCGGCCAACAGATGGCAGTTGTTAAACTTGTGGCCTAAAATACAGATGACAGCACGCATACTGGGTCCACAATAAAATACTTATTAAACTCCAACTCATACCTAAAGCAACAAGAAACTCTGTTGTGCCCCTGACTTGCTCTGTCACATCCCAGACACAGCAGCCACGTGACCTTGGGCCTTTGGTGTCCAGCCCCACGTGGTGGCTGTGGGCTGCAGCAGCCCCCACAGACCCACAGCCTGCAACCAACAGGTGCATGCACATGCGTGATCATGCACACATGCACACAGACACACACACACTCCGCGAGAGGCCACCCCCAGCCTGAAACTCAGCAGGGCCACAGCGGAGCACTCAGGATGCGCCAAAGCTCCTCAGATAATACTGCCCCACCAGCAAACAATACTATCACCTTCCTGTTCCACATTCCATGATTTCTTTAAAAGGGCCCCCCCCCAGCCTCCTAGTTATGAAAGAACCCCCAAGTGACATCAATAAACAAAACTAAGAGACAGAAAATACAATGCTAATCCAAATCCAACCATGAGCTTTAAAGAGACCAAAAATTTTATCTGAAACATATTAAGTGGGCCCAAAAAATAAAACCTGCATCAATATTTTATAGTTTGCTTTTCCTTTCTTTTTCTCTTTCTCTGACACAAGAATTCTCTGTCTTGCCAGCTGGCTTGTACAGCCCAGCAGAAAGTATACCCTTAGCAGGTGCAAGGTACTGAGTTCAGGCCCCCAGCACCCCTAAAAAGCAAGTGATCTCTCTATCTGAGGTAAAAGAATTCAATGAAATAAATGTGCCTTTGTTTCAGTATCTTTAAAAAAAAAAGAGAGAGACAGGCATGGTGGTGCACCCCTATAATCCCAGCACTCAGGAGGCTGAGGCAGAAAGATCACTGCAAGTTCAAAGCCAGCACAGACTATACAGTGAGTTCAAGAGCAGCTTGGCCAACATAGCAAGACCTCGTCTCAAAAACCAGAAGAAAAAAAAATCGGGAAAACATTTTTCCGGCCAAAAGTATCCTCTCCTCTTGGCATCTATGCTCTTGCTACCTGTACCTTTCATTTTCTTACTTCCTGGCATCTCTTTCCTTTCCCTGCCTTCCTGCTCTTGGAAAGAACTGCAGAAGACTCTTGGATGGACAAAAGGACTCTTAGACACCTCCGCCCCGTGCAGCGGGCTATGCTGGTACTCTCCGACACCACAGGGATCTGTGCCCTGGACTCGCGTCTCTGCGAGGGCACAGGGTGCACAGGGCCGCAGAGGGCTCAGGCGGTGACAACACCGCCGCTGACCACACCACGCTACGCTGCGCAGCAGCTGGTTCTCCTCACTCAGCCCCCTGCACGGCCTGCCGCGCCTCTCTCTGGACTTAGCTCTAACTGCTTCTAGCATCTTTACTGGTTTTCCCACCAATTCATTACAGTTAACAGTTCTGGCATTGATTCATTATATGTTTGAATGAGAATTATTTTAACTTTTTAAAACTTAGCCTCTAACAGTTTACATTATTCCACAGCTAGCAAACATCACCAAAACTCAAGTAACAATTTTTAAAAATTTGTTAATTTCACCCCCACTGGAGTACTTCCTGAATATACATAATACTGTTTCAAATTAATATCACTTACTGCCCTGTGAACTGAAGCCATTAAAAAGAAATTATTTCCTACGTGGCAGAGCAATGAACAGTACATATCCAGGAAAAATGAAGAATCCCAGGGATGATGACATTTACTAGGCACTTGCTATGTTCTAAGCGTGTGCCTGCATTCACTCACAGAATCCTTCACCTGAGTGATTTATGTAACTCCATGATCAGAATCACACAGGCCTGGGGATATAGCTCAGTGGCACAAGTGCCTGCCTGGCCCGCACAAGATGCTGAGTTCAATTCCCAGTACCAAAAACAAAACAAAACAAAAAAACAGAATCATACAGGCCAGAAATAAGAGACATAACTGATATGTGAGATGAGTTGTTTAAGTAAGATATAAGGGTAAAGGCACTAGTTTTAAAAGCCACTAAAATGCAATCCTAGGGAGCAACAAAACAAAACTCCAGATTCAGGTGCAAAACATCTTGAAACACCTGACTGTAGTTAAATAAGTCTTGGTTAAGTAAGAGCTATGTGTAAGAGTATAAACAAAATAAAAGGTGACCTTGGACCTTATTATTCCAAACTATTTGTAGAAGAATCAAGCACATGGATAATTTTAATTTCAATTTTGACTTCAAATATGTCTGGATATTTAAAACTTACCAGCTCCAGAGCACACACTATGCTCACGTCATAAACGGCATCGAGGAAGAGCTGGAGGTGGAGTTTCGGAGGAAAAGAGCTGCTCGCAGGCGCGAGGCCCTGGGTCCATCCCCAACACCAAAGGGGGAAAGAGGTGCTACTTATCACAATGTCGAGACACTTCTTTCTCACAAAGTACAACCTCAGGACAAACGCGGAGACAGTAGTGCAGGAGTCTCCACACACTGCCTGGAGGGCCCCGCGTCTGACTCCTTTCCCGGTCAGGATGCCACACTGAGCAGCTGAGAGAGAATGCAGAGGCGATGTGGTACTCACTTTTCAATTTCAATGCCAAGGGGATTTGCAGGACGGAGGGACAGAGGGGGGATTCCTTTATTCCTGTCGGTGCGCATATCGTAGTAATTCATTTCATCAACCCACACGGCAGACTGATCCAAAATGCCTGCAAGAATGAGAAGCCAGCCACAGTGAGAGAAAGACCTCCTCAATCTTGCCACAGTGCCTTAGCTTTTGAAGACCCAGTACAAAATGTCTGTCATTGGAGAGATTGAAGGGCAAATTTTTTTTTAACGCTTAGTGACTTAATTAAAAATAGTAAGATTCCACGCCTATTCAAGGAGGCTGAGGCGGAAGGATCAAAAACCAGCCTGGACAACTCTGCAATACCCTGTCTCAAAGTAAAAATTAAAATTTTACAAAGGGCTGGGGGTGTAGCTCAGTAGCAGAGCACCCTTGGGTTCAACCCCAGTACCACCCCACAACTAAGAGTCTCTGAAAAAGAAACAGTAACACTTCTAGGTCTATGGTTTTATCTTATATAATTCAGTAGAGAAAACAAACCTCCAAAAAAAGTTCTGCAAAAACAAGTATACTTTACAAATAATAAATACTACAATATTTCTATATTGGGAAATACTACTGTTTAAATTGGTCATAAAATTGAGGCAGTTAACAGAGGAGATGCACTGATATGAACAATATCTGATTACTTGAGATTGTGAAGCCATGTAAACCTTTAGAAAACAGCTCAGAAAACCTTGATATAAAATATTCAAGTCAAGCATTACCTCAATGAAAAGTTTCTTACTAATGACTACTGATAAATACAGGATTATTTGATTATATATTTGATATAATTATGATAAATCATATACCTACATTTATATTTCATATTTAATATTTTGAGTTTCTTCTTTCAAATTCCGCAAGCCACCTGCAGACATTTCACTGTCAGTGAAATCCTAATGTTCCTTAACATGTTTCTTGAAAACTCAAGAAATGGCTCTCATTTTCTTCTCTTCCACAATAACCAACAGGTTATCGTGAAGAGTTATGCAAAAGGAACATACAACTTTCTATTTCTCATTCCTTCTACCGTTACGAAAGATGGAAATGCTCTAGATGACAAACAACAGCGATTTTTTTTCTACGTTATGCTGACATCAATTGGGTAAATTCAACAAAATAGTCACCAACTGGCCAAACACTTGCAAAGCATGTATAGGCTGTGAAGAGGACGTGACCACGTGATTCAGGGAAATCTGACAGGTATGTGAAACAGGATCTCGCTCTGTGAGCTCGCGCTGTCACCTGGCTCTGCGCAGGACATGCTGGCAACCAACAAGAGACCTGCACTGGTACAGCCGAGCACAGAGCCAAGACCCAGCACAGCAGGCTGGGAGGACCTGGAAGGCAGCGGTTCTGGACAAGGCAACCCTGTGAATCCCCAGTTCAAGCAGCGCCCATGGTGCTGCCAGGATGCGACTGTGGCTGAGTTCTGTGCCAGGCCAGACTCCCTGGAGCTCAGAGCAGGACACCATCAGTAACCACATGCATGCTAGGTCCGGCACGTGCTCTAGGACACACTCACTGCTTTCACACAAGTCCTCACCTGCTGCATGGTGTGCTATGAAATGCTAGATTTCATCAAATGTTTCAGTCTCCACCAGAAAACTATAAAGCAAATGCCGCTTTAATTTCAGTTCTGTTTTTAAAGATGTTAAGTAAATAAAAATAGGACTACTATGTATAGTATTTATGTATTGTATTTTATGAATATATTTATGCTATATAACACAGCGTTAGTATAAATGCACATATACAAAAATTCAATTCTGAATTTTCATTTGAATTCCTTAACTGTTCATTTATTTAAAATATAAGAATTTGTGTTCATTCTGACAGCACATATACTAAAAATACAGGAATTTCTGGAAGATGATGATAGTAAAGTTCTGTGCTCTAAGAAAAGAAACACTGTTCACACACTTAGGAAGCTGAGGCAAGAAGGTAAATAATTTTGTCTCAAAATTTTTTTTTTCAGTACCGGAAATCGAACTCACGACCTCGCGCTTGCCAGGCAGGCGCTGTGCTGCTGAGCTAAATCCCCAGCCCCTTCAAATTTTTAAAAAGGGCTGAAGGCGTAGCTCTGTGATGAAATGCTTGCCTAGCCTGGGTTTAATCCCCAGTATTAAAAAAGAAGGGGGAAAGGGAGAGAGGAAGAGGAGGGGGAAGGGGAAGGGGAAAAGGAAGAAAGGGAGGAAGAAAGAAAGAAAGAAAGAAAGAAAGAAAGAAAGAAAGAAAGAAAGAAAGATGCTTATAAAATATTTTACTTTTCTATGTCAAGAGACCTATTGTGTGGGTTTAACGGTGCCAATGATGTTGATGTTGCTGTATAATATAAATATTGGTGCATTTGTGCCAAGATGTTAGAGAGTCACAACAGGCAAGCTGGCATCATTCTTGTTAGGAGGAGAGAAGAGAACACACAGAAGTAACAGGAAAATAATGTAAACTCACTAATCTACCATATAAGGAGCTACATCAAATGCTTTACATCTATGTTCTCACTTCTGCACACCTAGGAGGTGGCAGTATCATCACTCCACTTTTACCTACAAAGAAACAGGCGCTCCAGTGAAGGACAGGCTGTGCAGGGCCCAGTCTTGCCCTCGGGCCAATACTTCCCCACTGCTGACAGAAGGAGGCAGTAGGGAGTGAGGAAGGAGGGGCTATAGCATAGGGAGCACAGTGTGGAGCCTGACTGGACTCCCGGGTCTAGTGGGCAGGCAGCTTCCCCTGGCCTCTCAGAGGGACAGAGAAGCTGGGGACAAGGAAGCACCACCTCAGCCTGATCTGCAGGCTCATTCACCTTGACTCCAAACTCTGCAAAAGTTTCAAACACTTTAAAAGTCTCTGCTGACAGAACGAACACAAATTCATTGTACTTAAGATCTAGGACCCAAAACTGGGGGCACCAAATGTGAAACCAAGAGATTTCTATCACCCTGGGAATGCCAGTCGACCCTAGGTCACCTCAGCACACTACCCTCTAACAAGTAAGATCGACATTAGTCAACACCAGACTTCCGTCAGATAAACATGTAACAAATCTAACTTAACAAGACATGAGATGAAGTCAATTCCATGTCAGTCTTAAATTTTAAAAGGCAAACTAACTTTTACATTCTTCTTTAAAATAAATTCATTAAGTTTTACCTATTTTTTCAGGCTTGAGCAGCTTGAAAGAGACTGTTGACGTTCCTCTGCCGCCTGACTTGGTTGTGACAATTATGCCCCCTTTGTCATCTTTGGCTTGTCCCACTCGACAGACTATTTTACTTGCAGACATCCACTCTGCTGTCAGGAGGCAGTTATGTCCACAAATAGTCAAGCCTAGAAACAAAGCACACAAGTAACAAAGGTCAACACGACACCAGGGTGTTAAACGGGCTTCATGACTCCAATGTGAAAAACGAACCCAGACACATCACTGCCTGTTCCATGGTTATCTTTACTGTGAATATACCCAGCGTTACTTGCAAATGTACTGCTAACTCTATTTTCTCCAGTCTGCTTTTTCTCTAGTATTTAAGACTTCTTTCAGACTACATTTAAATTTCTTCAAATATCAACAGATCAGAAAATAGCAGACCATAAAAATGTCCAGATATTCCAGATTACTTAGACTATGAGAATCCATTGTTTGTCAGAAGTGTTAGAGGGGAACTTTAGATTTATTATTAGAAATTTAAGTTACTGATGTGCTTTTTAAAGTATATTTAGGGCAGTCAGCACTTGGGAAGCCACACGGTGGGGAGTGCCAGCCTTTGGGCTGGACCCTAGCCGCACAGGTGCCCAGGAAGTGGGCAGTTGGCGCCCAGGAAGCCGGGCAGCAGCGTGCACAGGTGCGCGCCAGCCCTCCCCACCCTGCAGTCAAGAACTATAATGGCACAGAGAAGCAATGACACAATTGGCCCGCCACGTGCTGGCTGCGGAGGCCTGCCCGGGGATGTGTGTGAATCATCCCGACGTGGAGAAACCCCTGGGAATACGTGCCACACAACTGGTCACTCTTGCCCCTGCCATTGAGAACCAGAAAGGTCCAGAGTCAGCGGAGGAGCAGCTGCTGAACAAGGACTCAAAGAATACAAGAAAACAGGCTAAGCCCAAAGACTCAGAGGTCTAGCTGACCAGGGTCACGAGAGCCGTTCGGAAGCTGGAAACCAGGAGGATGTTGCGCAATACCTGGGGAGACCCCCTGGAAGCCATTCTTCCCCTGACAGTACAGGCTGCAGTGGAGGAGCGCGTGGAGCTCCGGAGAGGTCTGCAGGGAGATTCCTGCTGCCTGTGCTGATGGTTGGGGAGAGGACACTAACTGGTTGTGGGGTCCCAATGTGCTGGGAGGCTGGAGAGAAAAAGCTACAAAAAATGGCTTTCGCCCCCAGATGGCTCACTTGAGATGTTAGTAAGAATTGCCTCCTCAGTATTCTATAGCAGTGATGAGGAGGAGGCCAAGGAGAGAAAACAAAGAGACTGAGAAAAAGCAGCTGCTTTTGCTGCAGCACTACGAGAAACAGACCCTAAGTCTGATTCTCGGGGCTCCAAGAACTTGAAGACTGCATTAATCTGCTACCACTGTTAAAAGCCAGGCCACCTCAAGAGGAACTGTCCGAAGAAACCCCCTGGGCCATGCCCTGAATGCAAAGGTGACCACTGGAGATTGGTATGCCCTCTGAAGTGGAGGCCCCAGAGCTCAGACTCCTCCTACCAGTTAATCCAACAGGAATGAGGGGGCCCAGGGCATACTCTGCCTTCTCCCTCTGGCCAGACTGTCATCTCCATGGAGGAGCCCCGGGTAATCATGACTATAGAGGAAAAAGAAAACAGCCTGTTGCTAGAAACAGGTGCAAGTCTCTCGGTCCTTCTTTTCAATCCCGGCCTTCCTTCCAGCCGTCACACCTCAGGGAAAGGAGTCACTGGTGAGGAGGTAATATGCTATTTTTCACAACCCTTAGGCTGGAACTACTTGTTAGATCTTTCTTGTGTATCTCTGTCTTCCTGAGCAACCACTTTGAAGATCCCACCATGTATTATAGCAGCCATTGATATTTTCCTACTGATCTGTCCATAACTCTGTAATGTTTGTATTGTTTCTATGCTATTTTGTAAATGGTTGTATGTTTACTACTATGTGTTTCCTACAACAACCACTGAGAATAGTCAATGATTATTCCACTGGTCACTCATGTATAGCTCTATTTATTCTCTTTAGAAACCACTTTGAGGATACCAAAGTATAGTACAACAACCGTTGATAACAACCTACCACTTTTGTCTGTAACTCACTATTATTTGTCATTTGCTTTCCTAAGAAACTATCTTATAGATAACAATATGTAAAACAACAACCATTGATAATTTCCTACCACTTTGTCTGTAATTCGGTAAGCCCCCCTATTACTATGTTATCCTTCTTTTACTCTTTAAAATAAAAAGTATATTTAAAACTTTACAGATTAGTCCCCAAAACATTCTATATTCATCTTCTTCCGGAAAAGAATCAGTACGTTCTTTTTCTCATGATCAGTTTCACATGGTATTACAGAATGAACCCAAAGACAGCCCAGAATGTGGTAAACCCAGCAACAAGTGTTCAGCATTCTAAGATTGCCATTCATGTCTTTTACTTGCAAATCAGTTCCTACACTGCAACTCATGGGGCTTTAGTGTTTTCCCAATAAAACGATCACTATATACTCTTCCACTCTTCTCTACTAGTAAACCAGCATTCCCAAAGGTCAGGTCTGCTCCTGTCCACCATCTTCACAGAAAGGCCAATGCAGGCTGTAACCAGGTGTTGAACAACCCTCACGCCTGTGGCCAAACCCCGCAGTTCACTCTTTCCCACTATTTAAAGTGCATACTGCTCAGGAAACTCAGCAAAGGCGATTTACTTTCAGACACCAGGAACACTTCAACTGATGACAAATTTGGCTTTAACTAGAGTTATACTTTGCTATAACTTAAAGCACTATCTAGTAATAATTCTATATTAATTATAAAGTAAAGAAAACCTGTATTTTTAAGACTTCTTCATATTGCTTGAAATAATGAACTTTAGGAGTTCCTCTAAAACACCTATTGAATTATTTATTCATGGATGCAACTTTGTTTTGCTAATAATAGCATTGAAAGGTTCTTTTAGGACTAAATCTTTTATTGGTATTTTTCATATATTCATAATTCAAAATTATTTTTTCAAAATGGGAATATCTTTGATCTTTCCTTACAGTCAGTGTTTGTCATAAAAACGTTACAAAAGAGATGGGAAACGCGAGAGCCACCTCCCAAGGTCAGCACAGTGCTGTGCCCACACAGTCTCATCCACACAGAGATGTCTGCGCACTTTCAGAATGAACAGGAGTGGGCCAGAAAGCTGAAGCAGGGGATGAGTTTGAGACAAGCCTGAGCTACAGTGATTCCCTGCTTCAAAAAATAAACCGATAAATAATAAAGCAAAGTGAAGAGGGAATGTTTTCATCTGTTATCTACTTATTTATAGATTGTGAATATTTTGGTATCACTTTTAAATTTTGTAATATCAAAAATGTTTTTTGATTTTAAATATTAACTCACTTCAGATAGGAAACTATTTCAACAATAAAAGGCAGAGCATAACCTCACTCTATTTTTAAAACTTTATTTATTTTTTTTTGTCTTTTTGAGACAGGGTCTGGCTATGCAGTTCAGGCTGACAGTGAACTCACGAGTCCAGACTGGTCTCAAACTCTGAACAACCATCCTGCCTCAGTCTCCCAGGTGCTGGGATTATAGGCCTGTGCCACCTCCTAATGTAAGTTCCTTGCTACACAACTGTGGTGATTAACTAATGGTCAACTTGGAACCCCCAGCTGAACTGAGTCGTGTGGAGCTGGGTGTGGAAGGCCCACTTGAGGACCGCAGCCAGTAGCACAGAAGGAGAGCTGGAGGGGGAGATGGTGTGCTGTTGATTCTGCTGGAGAAGCTTGTCACACTGGCTTTCCTGATATGAACTCAACTGCTGTCATGATCAGAAAAGCTCGGGTCCTTGCTGTCCCTGAGGATGGTTGTGGTTCTCTTTGAGGGAACTCTGGTCTTTAGCTTGAGCATTGCTCCCTGGCTCCAGTGCAGATCCCTCAGCCTGCTGATGCAAATCCTTTGTCTCACTGGTGAGGCTTTTTAGCTTCCACCACTGACCTTTGGGTCTTCCCAGTGCAGATCCTTGATACACACTTGCATGAGATAGTGTCATGGGCTCTAGGCCTCCCGCTGGACTTGTGCAGGACACTGCTATAGGATCCAGCCCCTCAGCTGGATTCTTTGGGTTTCTAGTGCATGGACAGATCCCCTGCACTCTTCTGCATTTGACTTTTTGGGTGAATATTATAAAATAATCCTATAAATTTTATGTCCTGTATTAAATCTATTCCCTTGCAAACCATGATTATAACAGCTATCCTATGATTGAAACTAAGAACTGAGAGCAGGTTTCACATTTATTATACAGACCAAGAGTCTTAAAAACATCTACACGACCAAATACAATTGGCATCCAGGAAGGGATGAGGCAGCAGAAAAAACCCTCAAACAATGCTTCATTCATCTTGTCACGGTTGTCCTCAAGGCTCTTCTGATTTAGTATTTAGTCTGAAATTTAACTTAAAAGATTAATAATCAGTACATAGCTTAAACACAGATTCCAACAGGCCATTCTGAACAGTACGAAATGAAAAGATCATAGGCCTATCTTTTTTCATTTTTAAGCACATTTTTGCTAACTTACTGAAACCTGTTTCAGTGAAACATAATAGCATCTTTTTTCTTCAAGTGACCTGTAAAATTCCAACTGAAGTACTTTTTATAGTGTTTTCCTTGGCTAGTATACTTACCATCTGAGTTTAAAACATTTAAATTATTTAATAGGCTATACTTGCTTTTTTAAAAAATGGTTTCTTGGCAACACATGAGGCAGGTTGAAAGCTGTACTAGCAAGGTTTATGAAAGTAATATACACTTGGTTATGTAAGAATAGCACTGCCTGAAGCTAAAGTACGTAAGAATAGCACTGCCTGAAGCTAAAGCTAAATTACAATTTATACAGACTAGTAACTGTCATGTTTTGACACCCACAAAGACTGCCAGTTAAAATTTTAGATGTAATTTCCACCTGTATGATGTATTTCCATGTACTGTGAGGATTTTTCCACTTGGGTAATGGAATATCTGGGTTGAGCTACATCAAAAACTAAGACACAGGATTAGATAAGACTATCTTTGCAAGAATAAATTTAAACCATGTCCACTAAAAAAGCAAGAACCATAGCCAGAAAAAATAATATGAAATGAGATAATTATATTTAACCCTAGCAAAAGAATTACCTGGAAGGCAAAACTCAGTTATTAAATATAGTGCTGAGCTCCAGCTCATGTTCTCTTTTTAAGGGTTTACCAGATGAACAAAAATCAACCTATCACTAAGCAGTTACACTGAAGGAAAAGTAAGTTCCAACAGAGTTCTGGGGCTTTACCAGTGGGACCTTAGGCTCAGAAATGACTGTGTCCGAACACGCACTCAGCAGCACACACTGAGGTCTCCACCTCCTCACCCGGAAGGCAGCTCCACATCCTCATGTGGTATTCACGGGCAAATAACTGGAGCAGACCATAAAAGATTTACACTTTGCTCTCTGCCCCAGCTGTCCCCTACACCCACTTTTATTTGGACCTCTGCTCTATCTTCACTGTCTACACAGAAGAGATCAAAACAGAGGTAACTACCAGCAGCGGGAAACTGTGAAGGACTTCTGAAAGACAATACAGACAACAGTTGACAAAATAACAATTCCCACAGAAAACCAAATAACTCATTTTTATCCAGATGGTTCTAAAGCGATAACAACATTTTTCTATCTGCTTCACTACTCCAAAATAATGTACCTTGCCTCACTGCCCCAACACAAACCCCTCTTGACACAGCAAATTTCATGCACTCGCCCTCACCTATGAGGTCGGTGGAGCCGGTACCCAGGTTCTCCCCTCGGATCGTGACCTTTGTCCACGGGATCCCTTCATTTGGAGAGATGCCCGTCACAAGGGGGGGCTGTCGTGACCGTGACATCGTGGCTGGTGCAACAAGCTGGTGACCTAGTTACAGAAGTGACCTATTGAAAGAAAAAAGAATTAGTGTCAACTGAGAAAACACTGACTAAAAATGTAACAATGCTAGACATTCAGTGCCAATATATAAAAAGCATTCTTAAGCATACACATAAACTTTTTAAAAACCATTTTCCCTGGTAGCCAACATCTACTGAGCACTAAGCTTATGGAGGACATTTGTTATGCTTGATATATTGTGTCAACTTGGGGAGTCTAGAGGTTTGGCTAAGTGACTCCGCAAGGAGCCAGGATGCTTACTTTGTATACATCCTGAGCCTGTGGAAGAGGAGGGCATGGAGATCACGTGCATGCTACACGCCCCCTGGGTGGGGGTAGCCTGTTTACAATGTAAGGGAGTCTTGGAAAGAGGCTGTTTGCCGCCATTCCTCCCTTTTGTTCTTGTGGTTTTTGCTGTGTTCTGCTTCCATGAACGTTTGCCCTCTGCCAAGTGCCACTCTGCCTCGGAGCCAGCCAAGTATGGACTTAAACCTCCACAAACTGTAAGCTAAATAAACCTTTCCTTCCTTAATTGGGCATCAGGTATTTTGTCTCAGCAATGAGTGAAAAGTAACCAAGACAACATTAGTACTGCAACTAGGAATGCATCAGAGCATCAGAAACCTGAGCCCTTCGTCCTAAGAACTCTCAATACAATGGCAGGTACAGTCCACATCCACATTTGATAACCCCGAAATGCAATTGGAACCACTCCATTCCAAGTTGTTTTTTAAGGAATATATATTTTTATAAAACCTAGAATGTAGATATAACAGGCAGAAGTGCAGATTTGCTGGAAAGTATAGTCAGAATTAGTAAAACTGCACTTGTGATGCATGGTACACCCCTTTACAAATGGCTCTAAACCTCTGGTTTTTGGTATGCAAAATGAAGCTAATCATAGAACTCACTTCATAAGTGCAATGGTTTAGATCAAAAATGTCCCGCAAAGGCCTCCTGTGCTCACAGACGGGCTTTGGAAGGCAACTGAGTCACTGGGCAGACAGAGCAGACCTACTGGCAGGAGGTGGGGCCTGGCTGCTGGAGGATGGTGTCTCTCCCTCCCCAGCTCTTCCTTTACTCTCTGCTTCCTGACCACCCTCACCTGAGCAGCTCTCCACCACCACACCCCTCTCTAACAGTCCTTCCTGGCCTGGAGCTGGCCAATCACAGGCTGTAACCATGAGCTCAAGTAAGTCTCTCCTTTTTTTACGCTATGGGTGCCAGGTACTGTGTCTCAGCTAGAAGACAGGGCCTAAGACAAGGTTATTGTAAAGGTGATGTAGGAAAACCTCTGGCAAACACAGAAAGTAGCATATGACCCTCAAAGCACTGCCGCTACAGCCACTGGTCCTCTTTGCCAAGGAGCTTTGTGCACACCACAAAGTCCACGGGAAAAGACCCAGACACTGACATGCAAGCGCCCCATCAAAAAGGAGGACCACCTGCCTTGAGACTCTAACTGAAAGGCTAAACTGCTCCGACAAATCAGGGTTTTGGGTGCATCCCTTACTCTTCTACTGTAAAGTTGTATGTTAGGATAAGAGTAGCAGGCTGGTATCTCAGTACCTTTCCCTGAGGGATACTAGAGCCAGTCTATGGGCTCATGCACTTGGTATGATGAACAGCAAGCTGTGTGTACGTGTGCAAAAGTGGCAAAGGGATTTTTATCCATCTTATGTTTCATGTAACTTCGTTTTGCATATATTGACCTGAGCATCACAAAGGATCCAATAGACCCACACCATGCCAGGATTTATTAAAAAAAAAAAAAAAAATAGTTTTCCTCTGATTTTTCTGGTAAAAACAGCCCAGTTCAGTATAATGGCACAGGAAAAATCAGACTTTCAAGATTTGGAGGAGGTTAAAAGTGAATCATCACATTACTCATCATAGAAGATTAAGATGACCCATTACGGTAAAATACATTCTTTCATAACAGAAAAATGGTGTAGGTGAATGATGATTATGATGAAGAGGAGGAGGAGGAGGAAGAAGATGACTTTGAAGTTGGCCATTTGAGCAAAATTCCTGTGACAGTGAAATGGAGCAAGAATCGACTGATACAGACATAGACGGTGTAGACCTTGATTGAGATGACAAGGGACACAGCAATGTGCATACTTATTAGACTAGTGGAAATACTGCAAAATGGCCATGTAACCAAATGGAACAATCCAATGTTAGGTCTGAAAATATAGTGAGACTCTTGGCAGGGGTAAAATGTGTTACGCAGAATGCCAGTACTGCCATTAAATGAAAATTATAACAGACGAAATGCTACAAGATGCTGTGAAATACACAAAGGCTGAAATGCAAGTGAGCAAGTTAAACAGTCTGTATAAACCTATAGGCATATTCAAAGGCTTAGTACACTGAAAAACAATGTTGAAAATTTTATTTTTTTTAATAATCAATAAATATTAAAAATTCAATACTTTATTTTTGTGGCATTTTTCCTGTTAAGTATTTATTGTTTAATATAATAAAACTCATAAAATTAATAATTCATCAATGAAATATTCTGAAGAATAAACATGGGCCCAACAGACCCATGTTTCTGTGCCTTGATGACAAAATCAATCTTGTGTCCCAAGTAAACTTTCTCCAAGCTTCCTCACACTGAGCATGTCACCCTCCACCACAGGCCTGACAACAAGAGCCAACACTTCCGGCCCCTGGGTCAACCTTTACCAAATCAACACATGCGCTGTGCCTAGTTTCATTTCACTTCTTCTAGAAACTGGAGGAGTTTCATGCATGGTGGGATACACTAGCTGCTCTTCCCCACTTGGAAAAATGTAAATAAACTCACCTATTCTTCCTTTTTTCTTTCTTCCTTTTTGGTACCAGGGATTAAACCTGAGGCCTCCGGACTGAGTTATGTCGCCAGTCAGCCAGCCTGCCAGCATTTTCCGCCAGAGCACCAGGATTACAAGTACGCACCACCACACCTGGCTTCATCTTCCCATTTTCATGGGCTTCTCTCATTCTTGGTTGTGGGCATGTGAAGGAACCCAATAACCCAGGTAGTTAGGGCTCAGGTTCGGATCAAGCCCCAGTCAGTAACAACCAGGATGGGAGTAGCTACCACAGCCAGTTGACAGTGACCATTTTTGTGTAAAATACTTTCGCACATTCATCCAAGTATTCTCTCAAGTTAAATTCAAGGAGGAGCTCCTGGTCAAAACAGCAAAGGATTCATATTTAAAATCCTACTAAATATTACCAAGCTCCCCTGCAGAAAGCTCTAACAATACACCCTGCACCAGTAACAGTGGGTGTTAGAATCTGTTTTATTAGTAGCAATGTGGTAGGTAAAATACAATGGCCACAACCTGCATCATGAGAGTGTGGATTCCACTTTCATGACTTTGCATCTTTTTCTGGAGATTATGTTTCTTCATATTTAAAATCTCTAGTAAGAAAATTAAACCTTTCTCCTTGTAAATCTCCCCAGTTTATGGTCTAACTTTTCACACTGTTTATGGTGTTCTTTACTTTTAAGAAATATTTAATCTTTATAGCAAAACCTACACATCTTTTCTTTAGAGAACAAAGCCTAAACCACACACATTCGCTCCTGCCTCAGCAGCATGCCTTAGGATGTTCAATCAGCTCCACTCTTTTGGGCACTTGCTGGCTTTCCTGGTGATGTGAAACACAGGTTCTATGGGTGAACATGAGGAACCTGCCAGTGGCCCCCTACCAGTCTTGGCTGTGGTCAGAAGAGTGTGGGTCACACCTTCTGGCAAATTCTGCTGGTTGTCCCCAAGGCTGGCCAGCACACAGGGAGTTTCTCTTGAAGGATACACCTTGCCAGCAGCTGGTATTGTCTGCGATTCCACCACAGCTGTCAGTGCTATGTGGAGGGGAGGTCACAGAGCTGTGAGGGAAGAGGGCGACCTTAGCCTCCCACGCAGGAGGGAATGAGCAGACACTTGACTGTTCCACTGACTTCTGTCCAAGTTCCTGGACCTCCTCAAGATGCTGATTCCTCTGCTCAAGAATGAAGTGAATGTGGGAATAGCAGGCTTGCTGCTTTAGGCTAGCAAAGAACCCCCAGACTCTACCTCATACAGATAGACTGCAGCAGCTGCTGGCATCAGCAGAGGGCAAGGGCGTCTTGGTGATGGGGTGACCTTCCAGCTGAGGTGTCTTACAGACTACAAGCAGAAAAGCCAGTAGAGAGCTTCATCCCACTCATGGCCCACAGGTTCCACTCACAGCCCATGGACAGTATCAGCTGGGGTGGGAGTGGGGGCTGGACTGAAGCTCCAGCTCTTCTTGTCTCCTTTGACCCCATTTGCCCAGGGTCCCCTCAGGATTTCCTCTAAAGTGCCACTCTTCCTGGAGTTGAGGATCAGGAACTTCTTCAAGTTTTCATATTCCACAAACACATCAAAGGGAATGTGGTATACTCCTATCAGTATCCACTCCTGTAACTAGTAGTGTTTTGTCCATTAAAAGGCAGGGACCCAGTGACTGCCAACTTCCAAGCTCTGTGGCTACCACAGGGCTATGGTACTGCTCATCCTAGAAGGACACTGCAGTAGCATAATAGAAACTGCCATAGAAGATCCCATGCTGGTTTCCAAAAATGTAATCATTGTTGACACCATTCTGCATCCTGACCTTCAGCTCCATGTCTACCATGGTCTCAACGGCTCCTGGGGGGAGCTATGGGAGGTGCTGTGGGCCCTCACAAAGTGGGGCTGCATGGCACAGGGTCAGGCCCTCAAAGGGGAAGTGGATCTGACCTTGTCCTCTTCTGTCTTTTCTTGCTCCCTGGTCATGATAAAAGTGGCTTTGCACCAGGCACTGCAGCCGCAATAAGCTACTGCAGCAGAGCCCAAAACGACAGGTCTGACTATGGACCAGGCTCTAACCTGCACAGCTAATGACTCTTTTCCTCTCATACTGATCGAAGGTATTTCATTACACTGACAGAAAGCTACAGAGACACGAGGGAAGGGACAAGACAGGATGGGATGGGATGAGAGCCCAGAGGGGACATGCCAGAACAGATGTGCCTCTCTAAGCCCCTGGTAACATGCCAGGTCCCAGCCTCCTTTTAGTTAAAAAAATTAAGAAAGAGGGCTCAAGAGGGCTTTTGCTTTATGTGGATTACAGCAATCAGTATTTATCAATGAGGTAAATTGTAAAAGGACAGACAATGCTTCAATAACTTTTTCATTTCTGGTTTGAAAAATATAGCAACTTCTGGCTTTTAAAGAGATCAATCATAGTGTCTACAATTAAAATGTTTTTCTGTAATTTCTGACTGATCTCATAATGGTTCCAAATTTAACTGACACAACACTATCGGAAAATGTCCTGTTGCATAAGACACAATGCTACCTTATAAATATCTATAAAAGCTGAGGGAAAGAATATTCATCATACTTTCATGTCTTCTTTACAATTTTACCACCTTTGGAGTAAATTTCTCCCTTCCATGAGACAGAAGTCACTCTGCCCACAGTGGTAATGTTTAAATGCAGCAGTCGCACCTGTGGGTCAAAAAAAAATAAGTCTTCCATTTCTTTTTAAAGCTAACAATCAATCATGTTCTATGTCTGGTACCTCAGCCGGAGGGTCACCCCCTCACCAAGACGCCCTGCCTGAGGGTCCAAGCACCAGCCCAGTGCACCTCTGGAAGCAAACTGAGTCACTTCCTCCTTTCCTAACACACTTCTTTGTATGACTCAAGTTTCTGGCCTACATCATTTCCTTCCTTCTAGAGAACTTTTATTATTTTAAACTTTAACATTTAAAGAAAATCTATTGGCAACAAGTTCCCTCCCTTTTTCTTGTGGCTTGGGTCTAGATGTTCCCCAAAGCCTCAAGCACTCATGGGTGGGCTTTTCAGAGGTAGCCGGATCTGTGGTGTATAAAGATAGACTAAGGGGTGTGATAACTAAAGGGTGTGCGATTAAGGGTGTGTATCACACTTCTGGCTGTGGATAATGGAAGCTCCACCCTCCGTGGGGGTGGCACCAACCAACAGGCTTGCAGCCTGGATGGGCTAAAAGAAAAAGGAAAGCTCGGGGCTGGGGAGTTAGCTCAGCGGCAAAAGCGCCTGCCTGGCAAGCGCAAGGTCGTGAGTTCGGTTCCTGGTACCGGAGAAAAACCAAAAAAAAAAAAAAAAAAAA